CGCTGCCTGCGTTAGTGAGCTGAGCTATCGTGGAATCGAGGAGACCTGAAACCTTGGACTTTTCCCCTGTTTGTCGACAAGTGAACTGCCGGCTGCCTTTGTCATGTGTTGTTAATCAAGCTTGGTATCCAGAGTCATTACGTATCCTGGTCTTCTCTGTTCTTCCAAGGCTATTTCACCTTCTTATCTCTAAAGCTCTCCAACAGCAATCAAACCTAGCTTGCCCAGGTGCTTCATCATGATAGCAGCACCTCGTCCTGATACTGTGGCGTCTTGGTCGGCGATTAACGCAAGCCCCCCCTCCCCTCCCACAGGATTGGAGATTCCATAAGCTCCAGACAAAACCTTACTGGACGGGACCCCTGGCATTTTGGGCCATGGCTGGCACGTGGATTGCGTCTTTGACTCAGCGGAGTTTGCGGCCGTTCTTCTCAATGGGTTGAAGCTTGGGCATCTTTTAAATCCGTGGGCTTTGAAATTCCGCAGCTGATGTTTTTTTCCCCAGAAAGAGTAACTGCAGATTATGAGGCGGAAATACAGACACATTGCCCAGATTTCTCTTGGATACCTATGATACTCATCCATAACAACAGTCCTTCACGACATGTGCTTGTATCTGGTACGAGCCCTCTCTGTACCAAGTGGATACGCGTATTCCGAGACGGGCAATTGGTGAAGCCGCTGACAGCCCCGCAAAAACGTGGGGAGCGGGTCGATAGGATAGGCTATTGCGGCAGGAGCAAGTCGTCGATACCTGCCCTGGGCAAGCTGGACTCATCCAACTGGTATCATCTTCATCTACCATGTCTCTTACTACTTACTACTCTGACTATTACTCACTGCATCGCATTCTTCGTATTTCAAACAATTCACCAAATAAAACAGAGCATACTTTCAACGGGGCCCTGCAAGGCACACGCCCCTCCATCGCTTTTCCAAGATGACTACTTTAATTCCTATTTCCATTTATCATTTTTCCTCTCTCCCCTCCCATTTACTACTAGGCCATTATCGCCACGGCACCCAGCAGCCGGGCACCAATCCAGCACCTCTGTGGCGTCTTACAAGCTCCCCAAGCGAGCGAATGGCTTCGCGGCAGTTGGGCTAAGAAGCTGGCGATTCCCGCCCAGCTCTACTGTACAACTTCTGAGCACCACCACCACTGCTGCTGCTGCTGCTGCTGCTGCTGCTGCTGGCATTCATGCTGGCTCATCGTTCTCGCTCTCCCTTCGCTGGCCATGGCTGTCGCGGCTGCCGGTGATAGGCTGCCATCGGAAGCCCGTCTGCCGCGAACTCTTTGGCCCGTTGACAAGCTACCGCAGACGGACGAAACGATGCATTTCAACTCACCGCAGACCAGGGGGGAGAGGGGGGGAGGGCCGCTTGGGGCTGATGAAACCGTCGCGGGTCGGGTTCCTTCTTTCACTGGGAATTGTTCCCCTCGTCAGCTAGCCTTCTTGCTATCTCATATTTAGTCCGATATGGCCGTGATATCGGGCAAACGAGAAGAGCGAGAACGAAGCATCTTCGGCGACTCCCACCAGGCGAGACGGACGGGCTTGGTCTACCGACCGGGCGTTGCCAGCTCTCTCTTTCTCTCTCTCTCAGCCTTGCAATGGGGTTAGCAAGGCGAATGCCCGGTGATGGAGGTGCGTAGAGTTGTGAGTCTATTCCAGTGGAGAGCCGACGCCGAGCTTCGTCAAGGCTGAAGGATGCAGGACTTGGACAGTTCTAGTGTCAGTTGTCGCAATAACCGAATGCTTCTCTCTATCTTATGGCCAAATATAGGCAGCCGAGGCGAGACTTCATTCTTTTCTGACCCATTTCTCCTCCCGTCATCTCGGCAATCTTCGTGATGCCGCTGAGGAGTTTGCTGAGAACCATGTTGTCCCGGGTGTGGCATCACCTCGCTCCATTCCGACGTGGATTGCCCGCAGATCACCGTTCTAAGCAGGTCTATTATTGGAGCTCTCCACGGCCCATCACACAACTTTGACAGCCCCCAAGCTCCCACAGCTTCAAACAGCTCGAACGCCTCCGCAACATTCGCACCACTGAAGTCAGGAAGCGCGGGCTGAAAAGATCACCAAAGGCGCTGAAGAGGCGCTCCAGAGGGATGGGCCTGATGGAGCGCTAATCGAACCTTGATGGGCTGATAGGAAGAGAAATACCAGAGTAAATACCATTCTTGACGGCTGCTGTCTCTGCCCAATCGCCGTGCCGCCCTCGCCACAAGCAAACGCCTCCATTCCCTCCCCATCCCAATCAGCTGGCTTTGTGGCTTCACCCTAGGCTTCTGGCTGCTCACTCAGCGCCAAAGGAAAAGCATCGAACTTGCAAAGGACAGGACAAACCCCAAATCTTTCCACACCTCACTCAGCCCTATTCCAATTTGCTTCAATGGAGGCAAAAAAGAAAGACATGGCATTGAAATCTGAGGAATCAACAGCCCTCAAGTCTTGCCGCTCGTTAGCATTTGGGTCCATCATAGCACTAGACGTAAACTCGTTTGCCATTGCCATCTGCCATCCCTCTTCTTGGGAATCAAATCATGTTGCCGTAAATAATATTTTATTTGATTGTTTAGTCTTTTCTTTTTTATCTCCTTTCCTTTCAATTCACCCCCCCTCCATCCATCTCCTCTTCATACCTTTCTTCTCTCCCCCTCGACGCCCGCTTTCTCGAAGTCCAATATCGGCTGATGAGGCGCTTCTTCCAGTGCAAATCCGGCGTTGCTTTCGAAACAATGTCTTGAACTTAATCAGATCCCAAGGAACCTGGGCACGCGCATCGTTGGCCCTGACATCACTGCTTCTCGGCCAGGCACCGTCCCGTATCTCTGCTATTGGTCTCCAACAACCTCGGATAAGCTCCATCAACCTTGATGTACTACACGGGCAAACGATAAGTAGACACCTGCATCCCGTCTGCAAGTAAGCATATAGTCAAAAGCAGCCCAATCCACTGCCGTGTATCCGGCAGATCTTGGTTTCCACAAACAATAAACAAGAAGCGTTACGCAAAAGAAAGCAAAGGGGCGACAGAAGAGGGGTACTTCATGTCATTCCTCCTCAACCCTTCGTCCTCTCCCTAGGCAGCATGTAGCTCAGAGATGGTTCCTATCCGTCAAACTTGCACGAGCCCAAAATCGTGCCTCCCAACCGTGAGGCACGTGTGACCAAACAACTTAGCCCAAGTCCTCTGCGCCAAAAAAGCCTTCCACACTTATCTCGCGAGCGTGGCTTCTCTGCTAGACCGCCAGCCACATCAGCGATAGAGCGCGATCCAGGCCGTCGATAGGCTGCCCTTCCCCTCGGTGAGGCGAGCCTGGCGTGACTCTGTGTGTTTGTCAGTGCATCATACTTTGCGGGGTAGTTCCCCAAGCCTCTAGTAATGGGTGAAATGGCAAAAAGCTAAAAGAAGTTGTCGGCAGGTAGTGTTGGCGGTGGGTGGTAGCTGTGGCTTGCTTGCCGACTTTTGATAGCCAGGAGAAAGCTTATGGGGAAACGAGGCCGATTCTTCAGCTGAGGTTTCCCCTCTTCCTCGTGGCTTCGATAACTCGGCTTAGTAGTAGCTTTTGCTCTTTTTGTTTATTTGATTAGTTTGACGAGGGGACGTGATTGGTAGAGCTTACGGTGAACTTGCCCGTTGGTCTAATATGCCCATGGCATCACCTTGATGAAGGATGTTCGAAGGGATTTGAGATCGTTATGAATGGCTTCAAATGAGTAAGTGGATGGTGTGTTCAGCTTGAGAGTATGCAGACGAGAGTTATTATATTGGTGACTATAGGTCTACCATGACCGGACGGGCAAACTGTGGAAGTCCCATTGCTATATTCTCCCAATGGCTCTCTTGCAATTGAAGAGAGAAATGCCAAACTACGGCTGGAGAAGTCGAATTACCGCTTGAATGTCAAAGCTCTAACATTGTTTATCATAAGGTACAGTCGCCTCAGGCACATGGAGCCCCTTGGGCTTGCACAGCGTATATAGGCTATCCACGGCAATTGAATGCCAGCCAAGATCATGAGCGTTGAAGAAGATCTTGTGATTGCCTACATTCACATTCTACTTTCAGCAAGTCTAGAATCCTGACAAGCCTCTAATTGGTTCTGTGATAAAAGTCGCCGTCCATTGGGCTTTGCAAGAAGTGATCATTTCCCGACTCATAACTCAAGTTACCTCACGCTCCTTCACTTCTTTCTTCGCCTTTGAGGTAAACACCAGCTGTCAAGGCCGGTTACAATGTGAGTATGGCTGGAATGTCTCCATCGGACAAGTCAAAAGTCTCTACAACGCGTTGGTCAATAGGCAAAAACGTAAAAGCTCTCCAGCTTCTCGGCTTCTTTTTCACCATGTGCGATCTGCAGTGCAGACTATATCTCTGCGTATGACTCTGTGCCAGGACACAAACATGTCTCTCGATGATTCATACTTTAGCAGCTAGAGAAGTCGAAGCAGCTTGGATGATGAAGCTTCAAGGTTGCTCATCGTGGAGTCGACTCAACTACATGGAGCCCCTTGGGCTTGCACAGCGTATATCGGCTATCCACGGCAACCCGAACGCCTTGCATGTTTACGCGAGAAGATCGACTACCACAGGGCTGGAGTGTACTTTGAGGGCAAAGACATTCTGGTTGACGGTCCACCTGCCATCGCCCAGCTTCACATGACAATTAGCATGCTTCTAGACCCCCCTACTGCGAACGTTTGTGTCAGAGGGGGCATATGCTGCAATAGCGTGGGGCATATTGGCTTGGATGAAACAACGAGCGGGTGGTGATCAAATCATGACTAGAACTACGCGTTTATTACCCCTTGGCCTGTATAGATGCAATTCTTCTTTGACACTCGTAGCATATCCAATCCGACGAACATGCACCGTTCAACGCCATTTCCCAGCTGCCAGATTCCATCCAATACCCTCCCATAAACGCCTGATAAAGCACTTGATATCCGTACATCATACCCTCATGACATCGCCCTGTTTCACAGCCATCATTGCTTGATATCGAGCACCTGCTTCAACATACTCTCGCTGGCCCTCCACCACCGAGCTCTCTGCTCAAGGTCGTCCGCAACTCCCCCAAGAGCAGCCTCCTTCCTCCTGCGAGCTTCCCGCGCCGCAGTGGTGCTGCTCTGCCGTTTCGCCTCCAGCGGCTGCAGCTCGGCCTGCAGCCTCTCCGCCTCCTTTCTCTTCCTGGGAACCTTGGCCTGCAGGGCCTCGAGCTCCCGCGCCAGCTCCTGCTGCTCCGCTTTCCGCTTCGCCACGAGGCCGAGCGTCTTCGTCAAGGGCAGCCGGAGGTTTGGATCCGACGCCGAAGTCTCCTGCTGGCTCTTGAGTTCCTTGATGCGCTTCTCCAGCTCTGCTATCTTTGCAGGCAGCTCTTCCAGACGCGCCGTCTCGAGCTGGATGTTTTCGTACCGCTTGCTCAGCTCCCGGCCTCTCTTTTCCAAGTCGGACACCAGGTCGGCCACCTCCAGCTTGAGGTTCTTCAGCTGCGCTTTCGCCTCCGCGTTTTCTCGCTCCAGATCCAGGTTTTCTTGCAACGTGACGATGAGAGGCGGATCCCCCACGATGGCGCGGATGAATTTCTCCTTGGTCACCTGCTCCACGTAGGAGAACCGGAGTTTGGCGAAGAGCTCTTTGTAGTGTATCAGGTCTGCGTCCAGGCTGGTGGGTGAAGGGCTGTCGAGCGACGTGTTGGACGCGTCAGAGATGCGCTGAGGGGCATCGTTTGGTGTTGAATTTGAGATGGATTCACTGAGTTTGATGATGGATAGTTCGGTGCTCGACTGCAGCCGGCGCAGAGTCTCGAGGACCTGAGCTGGGTCTTTGGCGCTCATGGTGTACTTGAGCTGCGATTTCTCATTCAGAGGCGCTATAAGATGAAGGCTTGACGTTGCCTCTGAGCTCGGACAGCTTCTCCTGAAATCCAGTCGGGCTTGTGAGAAGTTGAATCAGAGTGTTTACATTGAACCCGATGCAGTTAGTCCGACAGGCTCATGCGTGCTTATCTTATCGGCAGGGGTATCATGTGCGCTGAGTCATCTTTAAAGGCTTCCCGATTCTCGGCCATTCACCAAGCCTGTTAGAATAGAACACCTTCCTCTGTCAACCCCCAAACCTTTATGCTTTGTCTGCGCAGCTTCGCCGGAATCTTTACCAACATCTCTCCCACATTGCTCCTTGCTATGCCCAACGACGAGCTCCTTACAGACGACTATGTGGCCGATCTGCTGGCCCAAGAGGCCAACGACTGCTCGATAAAGTACTCCGCAATGGGATTGGAGGCTTTCAACACCAAGAACAAGTAATGGAGCCCGCCATTCGCTGACAAGGGAATATCATTCTGACGGAGTCAAAAAGGCCGTCCAACGTACCGAAACCGAATACGAGGTTCCTCAGAAACATCATCAAGGATACGGATTCGCACAACAAGGCGCTACTGGCCAAGGAAGCGGCCGAATCCAAAGCGAGGCTCCGGGACTTGGAGCGCGCCGACCAAGCGAAGCGACGAAAGGCAAATCCCACAGATGGAGATGTGCGGAGGCGGCAGCTGGGCAACATTCAATCTATTCTTGGTGGATCGAGGCACAAACGGGACGACAACACAAGACGAGCAGACGACGACGAAAAGTCAAGGAATAGGGGCGACGGCGACCGCTCTTCGCGCAGAACGTCGCATCGAGAAAGGGACACCGACAGCGATCGTCGCAAGGCGAGGAAAGACTATGGACGATTGTCGCGCAGTCCCGAGAGCGACGAGCGAAGGAGTCACCACGAAGATCGACCGCGGAGCTCACGCAAAAGACATCGCGACAATTCCACCGAGGATAAACACAGGCATGGTCGCCGCCGCCACAGGTCCCGGTCGAGGTCACCCCGCCATCGACACCGCTCGCGGTCGCCTCGGACCAAGAAAAGCAAGCATCGGAGTCGCTCTCCCTTGCCTGCGGAGAAGCGCTCACCGAGAGATTTGCATAGCAGAAACGACGGCGACGATTCAGATCCTCTGGAAGAAATCATTGGGCCTGCACCACCTCCCAAGTACCGCGGCCGCGGGACCGTCGCAGGGACTTCCAGCCTCGATCGGCGATTCTCCGAGTCGTACGATCCAAGCACGGAGGTGCTGCCGGAGGAGGAGGCGGGAGACTGGGACGATGCAGTGGAGGCTTTTAGGGACCGCCAAAAGCTGCGTCGGATGCAGGACGAGCGGATGAAAGCCGCAGGTTTCGCTGATCACCAGATTCAGAGGATCAACAACAGTCAACGAGAGAAGACAGAGGAAGGCGTGGTGTGGTCCAAGGCTGGAGAGGAGAGGGCGTGGGATCGAGGGAAGAGGGACGATGAAGATGGTGATGGCGACATTATCTTGCGCGGTATCCTGTCGGAAGATTCATGAAGCAAGCAACATGCTTGACCGGAACGTGATATTGGAAGCACAATGAATAGCTCCTACTTGTTGCTGGGTGGCTGTTTAGGGGTCCGTGTATGATGTACCTAGCGTCTAATTGCGATGAAGCCGATACGAATCATGAATCATGATGCAGCACTTAGTACAGTCAAGATGGTCTTGACAGCCCAGCAAATCGTTACATATTCTTGAGAAAATTGATTAATTACCACTTCGTAACACGACAACAGGAAATGTCAAAAATAGAGGCCTCCTCAGATCCTATCAGACTCGTGCACTTGCAAGGGGTTCCCAAACAGACGATATGAAAGAGATACGGCGTCTTCGTATTCGCATGAGCCCTCTCTGGCCCCTGTCATGAGCACGTGTGCCTTTTTGATATCTGCGCTTCACCTTGAAGACGAGAAGTCGCGCAAGACAGACAGACAGTATGTCTTATCTGTACCCTGTCTCGCCGACACACACAAAATGGGATGTGTGTTTCTCGCCAGTTGATCACAAGCCATTTTCCGCTATGCAGCTGCGAGTGCCGACAGAGTGAGGGAAAAGACAAGACAAGAACATCAAAGTCATGCCATCTCCACATGATGGCGTCACGAGCCGTTGCGTCATGCAGCGTCTCTGGAACTGGACATGGGGCTATTTTTGCACCTTCAGTGGATCGCAGTGGTCCCTATCAGAACCTAATTCTAGGTGACCCTTTTTGGCGCTGGTTTCGGTTATTTGATTCAGGAAGTTGCTCAGGATGATTGGGTTGACGGTTTGTGTGGCTTCAGGGCTGACGAGTAGACGCTGCAGATAAGGGAGCTTGTGCGAAGGACCATGGAGCAGAGGGTGATGGAGGCACAAGAATCTCTGTGCACCTGATGCATCGGTTCTGCATATCATCATCAACATCATCATCGGCAGCATCAAAAGGAGCCTCGCGTCAAAGCTCGTCAAGCTCCACCAGATCAGACTGCTACTAGCTCCCAACCCGTCGTCCCACAGCCAAGCAGCCGCCAGCACTAATCCGACGCATCGGTCTTTCACCCGCGATGTAGTCTACTGATTGTCCGGAGTGGTGAATGAACGAGTGCCGGATTACAAGCAGTGATCTGATCTGCATGCAATCTGAAAGATGTCGTGTTTCTAGGTTCGAGGTGGTGCGATGTAAGACGCATGTATGTAGGTACTCCGTACGAGTACGCGTACATGGAGGTGCAGTTAGGTACTAGCCGACAGCATTCCAGCTGCTTCGACCACCTGAAGCGGAATTTACAGGCGTGACTTGGCGACACTTGGCGGCCTCAGCCCCCGCCAGCCGCGCCCTCCACTGCCGGCCGCTCCCTAGAATACAGGGCAGTAGCCCAACTGCACGACTTTACCCGCCCCGCCTCGGCCGGGCTGTTTATTCCTCAGCCTGCCAACCTGCGTTCATCATTAGACATCGACTCTTCCCACCCGTGCGCTTCTCCTGCTTGCATCCGTCCTACGTTGTATTCTCGTCCTCTCCTAGAACGTGATTCTTTGTCCTTCTGCTGCGTTCGTGCTTCTTCGTCTCCTCTTCATCCGATACGCATCTTCTCTGTTGTTGTTCCTCTCGTCCCATGACGTGTCTCAGCTGGCCGACGTCAGCCTCTCGTCCCTGAGGCGGCATTCCTTCGCGGGCGAACAAAAACACCATCGAGAGAAACCATACGCAGACCCAAGAAAGCAGAAAGCGTTCCCCTCTGCTGCCGGCCCGACCAGCCGCGCTCCTCACGATGCGCACTCCACGGATCGTGATCCTCGTCCTTTGCATATCCACGTCCCTCTTCCTCCTTTTCCGCGCGGCGACAGCTTCCAGGACACCCGCAGCCTCCCGATACCCCACCAGCGTCCGACCGACCACATCCGTATGGGGCCTCCTCTTCTACAACACGCCCTTCTCCCTCTTCCCTCCCAATGCCGCCATCAGCTTGACCGATGACAACAGCACATCCTTCGCGGCCCGCCCCGCTGCCTTTGGGCCCCGGCTGCTGCCCAGCGGCCTGAGCGGGCAGCTGTGGGTTGGCAGCGGCTTCACCGACGACAGCCTAGACGGCAATGGCGAGCTGGGCTGCAGCGACCTGCCCGGCTGGGATGCTGCGGGTGCGAAGCATGCGTTGAAGCAGTCTTCCCACGGCGCTGCGCAGCACGGGGGCGTTTCCAAGTCGATGCGCCGCCCGGGGCGTGCCGGAGAGCTCCTTGGCTTGGACATGCCCAAGAAGGATGCTGAAGCGAGCCTCGAACAAGTCCCTGCGAACGATGGCACCGATAACCACCTCCACAAGGGGCCCCGCGGTTCCCTCACTCGCCGAGATTCCTCTACGTCTTCCCACGCCGATATCCAGTCGATCCAGGAGGGAGCCGAGATCAAGGGAAAGATTGTACTGCTGATGCGCGGAGGTTGTGGGTTCCTGGACAAGGTCATGTGGGCGCAGCGAAGAGGTGCCATTGGCGTCATTGTTGGCGACAACATCAAGGGCGGTCCGCTCATCCAGATGTTTGCTCACGGCGACGAGGTTGACGACGTGGCGATCCCGTCCGTCTTCACGGCCCGGACGACTGCGCAGCTGCTCTCCTCGCTCACGCAGCCCGGCAGTTTTATCGAGGACACGCTGGACGACAATGGTAATCCCGTCCTCAAAGTTCAACAAGGCGCCAAGGCCTTGAAAAGCAAGGGCCCAGTCTCCAAGAAGAAGACACCATCGAAGAGGCCCAAGACTTCGAGCAAGGAAAAACGAAGCATAAGCGCCAAGGGAATGGAGGCCAAAGACCAGCCAAGTGGTTGGCTCTCGCGCCTCTTCAGCTGGGGCACGTCTTCTCGCGGCGTCCACAGCGAAAGCAGGCCGCCCAGCAGTGGGCAGCTGGACTGGGTCATGGTGGAAGATTGGGATGACGAGCAGGACAGCACCATCAAGCCCAGCGCGGCGAAGACAAAGAAACTGCCAAAGCGACCCAAGGTGGAAGGCGACGACTTTGTCATTGGGGTTCAGGACTGGCGTGACCCGGATCTCCTGGGCAAAGCGCGGGTGACGTCTGGGGGCAAGAAGGCGTCAAATAAATCCAATCTCAAGGGCGACATCTCCGACAAGGAATCCGACGCCGATGAGCCAAAGGGAGGGAGCATTACGCCGAGCAGCGGTGAATATAAGATGCGCAAAGTATCTGATGATGAAGGTGAGGCCGATGCCGCCTCCGAGCTGAAAAGGTCTCCGTCAACCAAGAGCCACGGTCTCATTTCAAGAATCTTTGGCGACGACAACGACGAGGACGACTCAGATGGCATCGTTCTCGACCCGGTAGATGACGACTACCAGGACGACGTACCAGAAGAGGACGGAGAGCCCGTGCGCCATGAAGGCCTCTGGGTAACCATCACGCCAACCAGCAGCGCCAGTCCATTCTTCGACACTCTCCTTGTGCTCGTCATCAGCCCTCTGGTGACGCTCTCGATCGTGTACGCCCTTTTGGTTTTGCGCGCCAAGATCCGAAGGAGAAGATGGCGGGCCCCCAAGTCTGTGGTCGAGCGTCTCCCAGTCAGGACATACCACACCGTTGCCCGCTCCCCCAGCATGTCTCCCAGGGTGCCTTCTCCGGGAAGCGCAACGCCGACGACGCCGCTGTTGCAGCACAACAACAGTTCCAGCCCGCCCAGATCGAGACCTCGCTCCAGGACGACCACTGGGGTCTTGGAAAGTGCAAACTTTCTAACTCCGACTCCCAGTGACCCGTCATTGGCGCCACGGGACTCTCGCCCCAGCCGTCCAGGGCATGAACGAGGGGCCTTTTCGGCAGAGTGGAAAAAGTACATGGGAAGGCAGGTGGAATGCGTTGTCTGCTTGGAGGAGTATATCGATGGCGTAAGTAGGGTAATGAGGCTTCCATGTGGCCACGAGTTCCACGCCGACTGCATGTGAGTTCCCATCTTCTCTTGTCCGTTTCATTACACATCATACTAACACTGGGAAGCACTCCGTGGTTGACCACACGTCGACGAACATGCCCCATCTGCAAAGGGGATGTAGTCCGCTCTTTGGCTCGTGGCTCGTGGGCTGGTCCTCGATACGAGCCATACCGGGATGATGGCGACGATGATGACGATGACGAGCAGGTAGCCGAAGGCTCGGGCTATCGATCTTCCAGCGGCGACGAGGACATTGAGCAGGGCGTCGCGGAGGCAGAGCCGGCGGAGGCGCGTCGTCCCAACTGGCAGGACAACCTGTTTGGCATGTTTCCCGGCGGCATTGGGGGCAGACGCAGGGCGCCATCTCCATCCCCGCCGTCGGATGATCGCCGGGCTTGATTTAGTTGTCTCGTTTATCGTTCAGAGCCAGTCCTAGATGGAGTCTATCGCCCGTTGAACCACTGCACGCCGCTCGGAGAGTTGGTAGAGGGGCTCTTGCGGGCACATCTCTCCTCAAATCTCAGCTAAACGGTATACCTTGTTGTCAGGAATTACAACAAGCATACGCTACGGCGTATGGGCACTGAAGGGACAGGAGCTGTTTTCATTTGTGTTTTCATTTGTCAATTTGGGATCAAGCAAGCATCGGTGGAATTGTGGCCCCTGAGGCCTTTTGTCATTGGGCCGGCAGTATTTTTATGGGTTTCTCTGTTTTGCGTCCTTGCCGCGAGGGCAAGATGATTTGGCTACGCTGCTCGTGTATGAGAAGCGTTGAGATACGGGGGGAGAGAGGCGGTTTTTTGAAGACCGTTTGTGTGGGGTTCGAATGGAAAGCTCAGTTGATACCCCTTGCGTTCATGGCAGATGGAATCTGTAGTTGAACTTGCGGATACCTAGTTGTGGTAATGGACAGGCAAAGCTGTGCGTGGGCTGGCTTGCCTTGCAGTTGTGCCGTCAATGTGTATTACTGATAGATGCTGAACTTGGTACCCTCTGCCTTCCGCCTTTGAAGAACTCAGCCATATGAAGATTGTATGCTCAAAACCGCTCCGCGATAGTTGTAGGATTCAAGGAGGGGATGCAACACCTCGCAAGCCAAGCAACCCAATATCCTGCCAGACTGGTGTTGCTCTCACTCTCAGAAGCAAGCGCCTTTTGGTTCGTTTTGATTGCAATAGAGGTAAGACACGTGAGTTTGATATTGTAAGCGAGGGCCGATGACACCTCTCATCTCGCTGGATCAACGAGGCCCGGTCGATATGAGGATTATGATGTCGAACATTCAAAGAATTTGGCCCTATGTACAAAGATAAAAGATAACCATGACCGCTGAAAAATGGCAGCCCAGCGTAGCCACGCGCCTCGGGGCGGCTTATTCAGCGTTTACAATGCTTTTACTTGGAGATTTGCTCCAGAACCTCGTTTTTTTCTTTCCATGTCTGCGTGGTAAGAGCAAAGTCCAGAAAAAAAAAGAAGGAAAAATAAAAGGCTTGGCACCTTTCATCTATGATTCAAAGTAATCTCGCGGGCCCCTGGAAAACGCCTCGGCGATTTCAGGAGGTGGCGCGGAAAACCGGTGCTCTGGGTTTGACAGGAAAGGGCGGAATCTGCAAATCTTGCCTCGGAGAGATTAGAGTTAAACTCAGAGGTTGATCTTGGCTTTTTAATCTCGATAGTTGTTCAGAGGTTGATCTTGGGCTACTACCTTATGTACCACTGTAATCTCGATTGTAGCAAGTGGTAATGAGGCTTTCTTCTGCCAAGATTTGAAGACAAAACTGGCGACAAGACATTTGCCACGAACAGTACCCAGTAGTCGAGAGATTGCCATTAATCGGAGTATATTACACATATCCCCCAAGGTACCTTCAGTAAGACGAACTCTTCTCGCCCGGCATAGCGAAAAGGGGGGGCTGCTTGCCTTTACGAGTATGTTCCCGTATGATGCTCGGAGTATGAACTCCGTAGGCCGCAGGAGAACTCAACGCATCTCCCGTCCGAACCAATCTCTACTCACAAGACTCCGTAAATTACAAAACAATTGGATTCATAAGCTGATTCAGAGTGTTGTCTGGATGGGATGGCAATGTGACAAAGCGTCCACTTCGGCATCATGCCAGTCCAGAAAATGCGCCGACTTTTGTCTCTCTCTCTCTCTCTCTCCTGATCCTGACATTTCCTGCTGCTGCTGAGAAACTCCGTACCTGGAACCATGCCATATTTGGTGCCAAGCTGTTCCTGGTGTTATTATTACTATGTACTACTAGGACGGATGATTGATGATCCATATCGTACGAGTTTCCCTCTCTTGTGTCCTACCCATGCAATGCCCCATCATGAATGCCATATCTAGGTACTTGGTACCTTCGGCGCAAAGGGCAACTTCAGAAGCTCTCCACTCGGGAGAGGGTATCCAGATTTCAGCCAATCAGCCTCGCAGGCGCCCCCATTGCATTGGGCCTTCAGTCAGTCCAGTTTTGATAACAGAAGCATTTTGATAACAAAGGGGGAGCATAGTAATTACGTAGCAAGCGAAGACGGGGGCCCAGATCGACGGGGCAAAGGCAAAAAAAAAAAGGGCGCTGTTTGATTGCCGAACCCCGGATGACGACGATGTGCCAGATTCGAATCCCCCGAGCAGGCAGGCAACACTTCGTACATGTACGAGTGGTACCTGTTTAATTACGGCGTTAGGGGGGGAAGGGAAAGGGATTTGAAGCTCGGAGGCTTAAGGCCGTTGCTGATGAATCCTGCCCTGCATCTGTAATGTAGAAATTCGGCAATGTACTGTTACGAAGTACATATGAACAGCCCCGAAGAAAGCGACTCGAGCGGTAGGGCTTTTCAGGGGGGGTTAGGGACGGGATCCATTTCACCACCTAAGATAGGACCCTTGCACGGTTGAGATGACGAAAGACCCCCATTGCAATGCATGTTGCAGCACTCGAGTGCATTCCATCGCATTTCAATGCACAGCAACCAAGTATAATGGCACAGAAAGCGCACAAGATACACACTCTGACCAATTGCTATGTCTTCTTCTAGGTGGTGTGGCATTCGCTTGGATATTTCATAGTAGTAGTGGTAGTCTTACCTAGTACTTGCTAACAGTGAGCTAATGGTATTACAACGAAGGAAGAAGGGGTGGGTGTCGTGGCGTGTTGTTCGATGAATCAATACGTGGGACAATCGAATCGAATTGCATCCCTTTCGTACGAAGCTAAGAACTTGATGTGACACTTTCTTTTGCCAAAAATGCGGGGGAATCTAGGGGACCTGCCGACTACATAACGATTGGACAGTGGCTGAGACCGTGCCTGTGAACTTGTGAGCTGTTGACTGTGGCTTCGTTGTTGAATGTTCATGGACCAGGCACGTACGTGTATAGCTGGACGGTGCACAAGATGGGACACGCGACACTCTTCCTTCTTCTTCTCCAACATAGCATGATGGAGAGGTTGCATATTGGGAGCCAGCGTGCTGCGTTCCATTTCTTGGCCCTTCTTTCGAGCACCGGCAGGATGGATTACCAGCCAATAGTACCTTGATACTGTGCAAGTCCTGGATACTGTATAATAATCCGGACCCCCCACAACGCGGCGTTGTATCCGTGGAACGGATTGCAAAGCAAGAACCGGACAAAGCAAGAGGAAAAGAGCAATACAGAGCAATCTTGGAAAGCAATCTGTTAATAAAACGAAACGCAGCGCAAAGCCCCCCTTGTCGCAGCGCAGGTGCGAATAAGCTCCAAATGTCTCACCCGCTGCGCCCTTGCCCAGCATTTATTTGCACAGACACAAAACAACTCGTACCGGTACAAGCACCGGTACAGACAAGTGCAGGCACACACAGCGGCACGAGGGGCCACCTGACCGCTTCCGAGAATAGCGCCCCCCAGTGCCGTCACCCAGCCCACTCTCTCCCACTGTCCCTGTCCACTGCCACTGCCCACTAACCCACTACTCGGTCCCCTGTCCGCGCCTGGCGCTGCTGCTGCTTTGCCCCGCCTACGCCTTGAGCAGCAGCCTCCGCAGCCAAATTGGGCCGCCTAACTGGACCCGGAGATCCGGCGAGATCGAACCATCTTCAGTGGCCATTTTTGCTCGGCTGCCGACACTTGTTCCCTCTCAGCTGTTTTCCCTCTTCCTCCTCATTCTTCCTCTCTCCATCTCATACTACATACCTCACCTCACCTCACCTACATACAACCTGCCTGTACATATCCATTGCACCTTTCGCCGAGGGCCAGCGAGCCTTTACCGATCAAGCATCTACCAATCGACGGGTCTCGTTCGTTGCTCTTACAGTATCCCATGCCCGCCTCATGCGCCCTCGGTCCAGCTCCTCCTCCTCCTAGCACCTAGGTAGCTCAAACTCCCAAATCACAACAAACAACAAAGATGCAAGCAATGGCGGCATCGTCCCAGTTCCTCAGTGACGATGACATTGAGAAACTCTTCTCCGGAGCTCCCCAGTACTTTGCCCGCAGCGAGAGCCACTACCCGGGCGCGCCTCACCCCAGCGTAGCCTTCCCGTTTGACGAGGAACTGGAGATCCGCGATCTGACGGACCATGTCCAGATCGAGTCCAAGGCCTGGAGCGGCGTCACCGTCTGGCCGCACCTCACCAGGGACGTCGACCACGACCCCGAGGCCAAGAGGGAGGCCGAGGAGACGCGCAAGGCCCACTTCCATGTGCGATGCGCCGAGCGGCCCAACATGCTCAGCATGCAGGGCCTCGAAAAGGGCACCATGGGCTACCAGGCCGCCCTCGAGCTGGCCGTCAGCGACTCGCTCGAGGAGGAGCAGTTTGGCTTCGAGAGCCTCGGCACAAAGGCCCGCGCCGTCGTCGAGGCCCGCGAGCGCATGCTCTCCCGCGACGGCTGGCTGCACCGCCTGCCCCAGCCCGAGCTGCTGGACCGGCTCAAGCGCAACGCCGACATCTACCGCAAGAACGACCTCCGCAAGCGGTCGCCGCTGGAGTCCTACAACGACCTCTTCACCGTCCTCATGAGGCCGAACCGGATGGTCATTGTCGACAAAAAAGACCCCCACAGCTTCCCCAACCAGATCAGCGCCCTCCTCAAGTGCCTGGGAGCCCCCAACGTCTGGATCGATCTGTCGCATGTCGAATGGCGCGTTCGTCTGGGCCAGATCCTCTGGGGCACGCCGCACGGCGACGAGCTGGACGATGATACCGCCATTGTCGACGCAGAGAGCGCTGCCGAGAGGGCCGAGGAAAAGTACTGGCTGCTGCTGCAGATCCTGGTGTCGTCCGAGCTGCTCATCCGCCTCGACGCAATCACGGATGGCGAAGAGTACGGGCAAGCAAGCTTCAGAGCCATTGACGTGGTCCAGTTCGAGAGAGCTGCGAATGCCTCGGTCAAATGGTCGCTGCTCTTGGCCCGCAGCTGGTTGACGAATATCGAGATTGTGCGAGAGGAGCAGCATGCGCCGCCCGCCGCGGCCCCGGAAGTCCGTCGCGGAAGCAGCGCCATTGCGCCTGGCTGGCTGGCATCTCTGGCCAGCAAGATTTCTCTGCACGACCAGCACAAGCACGGACACCGGCCGCCGTCGCCGCCTCACTTTTACACCATTCGAGGGAGATTCGGCCAGCGCCAGGTCGAGGGCCTGACTCACTTTGCCAGAAAGCTCCAGTGGCCAGGCATTGACGCCTACGAGAGACGCATCTCGGAAAGCGTGCGCAAGATGACGGCGCCGTCGTCTCTGATGCCGCCCACGCCCACGCCCTTGAAGAAGAAGGTGCCCGAGCAGGACTCGTACTTTGGCGCCTGGGACGTCACATGCCAGCGCGGACACCACAAGGAGCGAGCCCACGCCAGGCGCCGCCGAATGGCCGCGGCGCTCCACGAGTCTGGCTGGCTCTCCAAGTCGTACGTCTTTGGCCTGATGATGCCAGGCGATGCCGTGAGCCACTTTCTCATGGCGACGCTGCTGGAGAACGATAGCGAGGCCCTGTCCAGGATCGGCTCGTTTGCCAACCTGAGCGGCGGGTTCGTTTACCACGAAAAGAGTTTCTGGAGCACGTCTTGCATTGTCGGCAGAGTCTTGGCCGCCGGCAAAGGGTCTGCCGAGTGTATGGGATGGATCTCGACGGACATTGTTCCCGAGGGAATGCACGAGGGCTGGATCAACATCGACGTTCACGATGTCGCCTGTAAGTCTTGAGCACCGTAAGTGACATCTTTTGCACACCTTGCTAACTGTCAACCAGCCGATATTGCACAGCTTGGCAAAAAGGCCAGGCTCTGGGGCAAGAAGCGAATCGAGCGCGAGTCGTCCATCCTTGGCAATGGCCAAGAGGAGACAATCTCCCCCGCAGACTTCATCATGCCCCACGAAAACAGCTACCTGTCCTCTCCACCGGGCGTGCTGATCGAGTTGCAGTCGCTGGAGCTGGGCTCGCCGACGGCAGAGTGTGTCCACCCGACGCCTCTTGCGGAGATTGTCGCAACTCCCATCCACGAGAACCATCGAGCCCCGGATCTGCTTTCGTATCCGGCCAAGATCAAGTTTTTCGTCTCCATTGACGGAGAGAAGACGGAAACGGCTTCCTTTTCGCTGCTGTATGATATCAACTTTGTCACGGCACACCCATGCTCACCTTCTTCGCGGGTCAGGGTTTTGAAGAGCCCTTCGAGCCCGACACTGCGGCAGATTGACTTTGACGGCTCCAAGACGCTGGGTGTCGGGTCTCGGTCCATGTATCGAGCAGGTACGTTTCCTGCCCCCTCCGGAAAGCCTGTCTGCAGTAATGCTAACGAGAGACACAGGTCATCCCTTGCACAAGTACTATAACTACACGGTGATGCACATCTCGGAGCTCTTGCAAAGACGAGACGCTGAGCTGTCGGAGCTCTTGACGCCCGCCAATGGACAGGCTGCTCCGAACCAAGTGCTGGTGATTGACTGCATCACCAACTTTTCCTCGGCACCGCAGTCGCCCGTGCTCGACCGCCTGGATTCGCCCGGCACTTCGCCTACTGAGCGAAAGGGCAGCTTCTCCGCGGCGGCCAAGATGCACTTTGAGTCGAGGAAGCGCCAGTTTGGATCCGACATGGAGATTCTCATCCGGGCCTTCTGTTCTGAAAAGGGCTGGAACGCCATCATTAGCAGGAGGAAGCGAGGATGTTTGGCCTGCGCAATCCGTGAGGCTGGCGCTCTGGGCTGGAAGGTCATTATCCGAGTGCCATGAGCATCAGCATTGCTTGAACATCAGCATTCTGCCGAAGGGAGAAATTCCCGATAAGTCGACTTTCCCTTGCAAACAGGCAGAAACGCCTATTGGATGAGGAAGAAATGAAAAGAAGAGACGAAGAACGGAACGAAGAAGAAATACCCTTCTCTCACGGAGTTTTTTTCTGGGCAATGACGGGAGTTTTCGGAGCGTTTGTGCAAGTCAGCCCGGGTCTTATTTTGCCTGGGGTCTTTTTTTTTTCTTTATATGCTGAGCGAGCGAGCGCGCGGGAAATTTGATGTACGATAGCAGCCTCTTTGTTTTGGGGTCCTTGGCCGAATGAAGGGTCGCAGGAACGACTTGTGTAACATGGAACGTGTTTTGCTGTTTGAAGACGAGCATTTCGCGTCTCGAATGTGCCGGAAAGAGGAAATCAGTAACCATATGGAGTGAAATCGAGAAAGCAAAGTATTGTGACCATGACTTGGATGGGAGTGGTTGTGTCGTTCTCGTGAAATCTCGGAACAGCCCGTCTTGAATCTGGAGGTCTGTGGAGCGCCCAGCACGGATCTAACCCGCAATGCGCTAAGCCCTGTCTGGGCGGGCTTAGTCACCCTTTGGAGGGGAGCAGCTGGAACTTGTTGAGCTCCCGAGCTTGTGCCTTCGTGGCCCATTGGCGCAAGCACTGGGTCGCATCTTGCTTTTGCCATCACGACTTCAATTCTTTGTCTGTCGCCAGAGCCAAACACAGATCGAACAAATACACAATGGCGCCTGGAACCAAAGACATGCGCCGGGCGGACCTGAGTGAGTTTCTTTGCCTGCTGCCCTATCAATTGCCCACTCCGTGCGCGATGCGAAACTGGATGCGATGCTTCGTTCTTGTTCGCCACGAGGACGAATGTCCTTTTCTTGACCGGATTGGAATTTACGATGTGCTGACTCTGAAGCGCATTGCTAGTCGTCCCGTACCAGGAACCCGTCGTCAAGGGCGAGGTGACGGATTTCTCGTCCACCATGTCCTCGACGCTGCCGATGGCGGCCATGTTTATGCGCAACAAGTTTGTCGGATGGTAATGCCTCTCTCTACCTCTTTCCTCCCTCACCCGCTCCCACGAAAGCGCCTACAGACGAATCAACATACCACATTCGAAATAAGAGAACGACGAGAGATACATGAAGATGGAATTCACATGGGAAGGTTGATCTGGCATGGCAATGGAGGCTAATGGTATTCACTTGACAGGATCGCCGTGGTGTTTTCCATCCAGACGTGGCTGGGCGAGAGCGAGGACAGCAAGAAGAGCAGTGGGACGCCCGGGTACTTTTCCGTCGGCATGTCTCGTATGTTTTGGTCCCCTTTTTTTTTGACAAAAAGGTTGTGCTGACCTTCTGTTTGTTCGTTTGTCACGTTACAGTCTTGGCTCTGGCGGTGACGTATCTGCCCATGTTCATTCCTCCCCCCGGCGCGAAGACGGCTCCTCCTGCTCCGGCGCCGCTGCCATGAAAAACGACGTCATGATAAGATGGGAGAGAAAGTGTTTGAAGAGGGCAATCAATAGGTGTAAGGTGTGTTGGCTGTGGTGGGAAATCATGTTAATAGGATAATACTGGGCTGTCTGGTTCAAGAGCGAGGCTTTGGTCGGAGGCGTTTCGTGGCCCGAGGAGTGACGAGGCTTTGAATGCTTGGTGTTGGCCATACTTGTACATATCATAATCTGAATGACGAAACACACGCGCAGATGCTATAATCTGTTCATGTGCTGCGGATGGAGAGGGGGCTCTACAATTGTCGGGTGAGGAGTCGGTGTTGGCTTACTCGACTGTGCTCAGCGCGGCATGACCCATCAAAAAGACAAAAACTTCATTCTCTCAATGAAACAAACATGATGGCACATTCACGCCAAGAAGAAAACTAAACAAAAACACAATAGATATAAATTGCGCAAACCTCTCAACATGGTCAAACAAGACGTATCTTCCGATGCGGCCCCTAATCGGTAGCACATAATCGAAGCGCCGGGCGTCTCGATTGGTGAAATCAGGAGGTCACGTCCTGAAACCGCGCTTGATACAGAAACCGTCTGGTCCGGGGGTCACTCGTATCATTTTCCCTTCCTTCTTTTGCCTTCTTTTCTCTCTCTTTCTCTTCTGCGCTTGGATCTTGCTTTTCTCCCTTTGATTATTTTCGCATTGATTGCGTACTTTTCTTTCAAGTTCTGTTCTGCTTTTTTCGCGTTGCTTGCTTTACTACAGTCTGCTGTGCAGCTCGTCCATTAATCTCACCACCACAAAACTCAACTGCGACTCATTCTTAGAAGAAGAACAAAAAAAGGAAGAGAGGGAAGAAAACAAAGGAATTAATCTTTGAAAAATCCACCAAAATGAAGACGACGTTCGCACTCGCCCTCCTCTCCACAGCGCTCTCCCTCGTCGCGGCAGACATCGTCATCACCCCCATCTTCGAGGACCAGATCGTGCAGAAGCAGGCGGGCGACTGCTTCTTCGGCGTCGTCACGCCCCAGGGATGCGGGTATGTCATCTTCTTTTCATGTAACTAACTGTATGAAAAGGCTTTGGGTGTTGTGAGACTAATGTTTTCATTTAGACCGAGGCGAGGATGAACGAACCTGTTGTCTACAAAAACAAGTATAATATTCCGCACGACCGTGTTGTAACACAACCGTCAAAGAGCATCATGCCGCGTCGATGAACAAAAGGCACATAACCCCGACGGACGCTTATGCTTTTGGACCTTCTCGATGTCACTCACAGATGGGACAACTTGGAATCGCTGCGCGAGAACCAAGAGATGAGAGAGAGCGCATTGGTTGGAAACGGAAATACGGCGTTTCGCTTCGGGGAGAGAAAGAGGGAGGCATTCGCAATACCGAGATGTCTTGACCTTACACCCAAGCCGGAGGTGTTTTTCAGGTTGCAAGCGGTAGAGTAAGCATTGCGAAAAAGGCAGATCTAGATACCCTAATTTACATGATTTATTCTTTACTTTGCTTCTGTTGTGTGTAGTTGCATACAAGGTACATATGAATATGAGTGCAGTCGAGGTGACAAGGCTACATTATTATTAAACATTCGAATTGACATCACCTTACTATAAGAACGGGATTGATACAATACATCTACTTATGCTCCAGGCACTACGCCAATGTCAAATTCCCAGCTCAATCAACACAAGGAAAGAAAGTCATGACAAGCACTTTCAGAGATCCCTCCAGGACAAGTCCAATACATTGTCACCCACCAGAATCTAACACCAAAACCTCTGCTGGCAAAAAGCCAAGCGAGCTTCATCAGACAGTTAAATTATACTCTTCATGCAAAAAGAGACCCAACTCTTTTGATCTCCTTATCCCATGTTCCCTGACAAGAGAACCCGCAATCTCCAAACACAACATCGTCCGACGCTGGCGCCAAACTTCTGAAACCGCCTCGTCAAAAACCCGAGTTTCGCGATACAATAGCATACTATAAGTATAGCAGGCAACCCCTGTTCGCCCAATCGCTCCTTTCAGTCTTCTGTGACAAACATCAAGGGTCTCTTGGTTTAATCTGGTCTAATCTGCATCATCTCGCGTCTCATTGACTTGATCGCGGAGTTGCAAGGCCAACCCAATCAAGTTAGAAGACTCAAGCAAGTTGAGCTCCCTCGAAGCTCATTGTATTCGAAATCATCATCACAGGCAACGGACAAGAATCTTCAAAAATGATCCACTGTATACAAGTATACACTATTCCTAACATCCAATAAGCTACAATCGTTCAGACAAAAAAAAGGTAAAAAGTAGAAATCCCCTTCTCCCTGATCCTCCCACGCATAGGCCTGTAAGCGGGCTCTGTAGTATATCGAATTACAGCCCTCTAAGTTTTTCTTCATCTACACATCTCGCAACTGCTCATGATGAGGCCGAAAGGTCTGCAACGCAGGCGGCAATCTGGCTCTGGCAGTCACTCACCGAGACACCCTGCACCGACTGGCTGTTGGCGGCATTGGCGCACTGGTTGTGCTGAATGTCACAGGCTCGCTGGTTGGCGGCATCCTTGGTGGTGAAGGTGTTGCCCTCGACCTCAAAGGGTCGGTCCTGGTTGCCAGACTGGGTGACCGGGGGGGCAGCGATGCCACCAAGGGCATCAGCAGCAGAGGCACCACCCTTTCCAGTGCCGGCAGAGTTGGTAACGGAGTCAGAGGAGTCCGCAGCAGTGGTTTGAGCAGGGGCAGAGTCAGTGGTCTGAGCAGCGCCAGTGGCTTGAGCGGCGGTAGCAGTAGCAGTAGCAGCAGTGGTAGCCGCCTGCTGCTGGAAGCCGCCGTTACCGTTGCCGTTCTGACCATTCTGTCCGTTCTGGCCGTTCTGGTTGTTCTGTCCATTCTGACCATTCTGACCGTTCTGACCGTTCTGGCCATTCTGGCTGTTCTGACCGTTCTGTCCATTTTGACCGTTCTGTCCATTCTGTCCGTTCTGTCCGTTCTGTCCAGTCTGACCATTCTGTCCGTTCTGTCCGTTCTGACCATTTTGACCATTCTGGCCATTCTGACCGTTCTGTCCAGTCTGGCCATTTTGTCCGTTCTGACCATTCTGACCGTTGTTAGGATCGGCAGCGTTGTTGGTGTCGTTGCCAGCCTGGCCGTTCTGACCGTTTTGGCCATTCTGGCCGTTGTTTGCATTGTTCTGACCGTTGTTGCCGTTGTTGGCATTGCCGCCGTTGTTGGCATTGCCGCCGTTGTTGGCATTGCCGCCATTGTTGGCATTGCCGTTGCCACCGACAGTAAAGCGGACACAGTCATCCTGGGCACCACGCTGGGCCACGGGCATCAGCACAGGCTGGTGGTTGGCGGCAGAAGACATGGAGCACAGGCGGTAGTTTCCCTGGGGCAGACCGTCGGTAACGGTGGCAGAGAGCAGGCCCTGGCCGTTACCCGCATCGTTGATACCCTTGAAAAAGACGAACAGCTTCGGGTCCAGAGGCTGGGTGGGGTTCAGCGAGTCGCCCGTGCTCTGGACAGTGACGTGAGTGTGGCCGATAATGTTGCCGTTGCCGTCAACATCCTGAGGAGCCGCATAGTAGGTGGAGGTGGCGTTGGTAAAGGTTCCGGGGGCAAAGTTGAGCATCTGGACCTGGATGTCGAAAGTGGTGTTCTCGGCAATGTTGTCGCCGTTCTTGGGGTTCACGAAGACGGAAGAGACCATGTTGTTGGTAGAGGGGATGTTGCCCATGGGGATACCATTGCAAGAACCCGTCTGGACCTGCTCACCGTTGGTGAGAGTCTTGCCCTGGCAGAAGTTGATGAAGTTGGCGTTGTCACTGTCTCCTTATTAGACTCTTGATGGTATGGTATATCATACGGAGCCGGTTGTACTTACGTAGCCGAAGCCGACTGGCCATCGGCACCAGGGTTGTTGCCGTCTTGCTGCGAACCGGTCTGGATGAGGTTGGCATCCAGAGTGGTGCTGCCGCCGCCATTGCCACCGTTGTTGGCAGCGTTGCCAGTGTTACCAGCATTGCCCGTGTTGCCAGCGTTGCCTCCATTGTTGCCGCCGTTGCGACCACCACGTCGTCGTTCCAAGGTGCGGCCAAAGAGGGATCGTCGTTCGACATTGGCGGCATCAGCCAGGAGAGCCAGGCTGACGACACCGGCGAGAACGTTCTTGATTTGCATATTGAAAGATGTGAAGGCAAATTACAAAGGAAGAAGAAAATAAGGTTGTCGTTGAAGCGTGGGGGGAAATTTGGTACCAGACCAGAGTCGAAAGAGAGGAGAAGAAGAAAAGTGTCACAGACACGTGAAAGAAGGAAATGAACGAAAGAGACCGAAGACGACCAGGTCGCTTGAAGGAGTTAGGAAAAGAATGGTTGGAGGATGGAGAGGAAAGAAGAAAAAGAGACGAACAACAGAGGGGAGCGAGGCCATTATAGCTTCGAGACGCCAAGACGTTTGGCGTCAATGCAAACCGCTGGCAGAGAGACGAAACACGATGTCGGGAGGTCGGCACAGCTAGGGATCAGAGACAATGGGCGGTCCAGTGCCAGAAACAACAACGGGGATGCTATCCACACCCACGAACTGGTGCGGTTCCATGAGCCTCAAACAGGTTCGCTATCGACCCGAGCAGCAGAACCAGGGCCAGTGACTGGGGACTTCTGTCTTACAGGCAGCCCTGGAGCCGGGGTGACCCTTTTGGAACGACCAAGCCGGCGATCAGAAAGGGCATCCAGGGTCAGAATCCCATATTGGGGGCGCGGTGTAACCAAAGGCGAGGGCGGTAGCGCTGCCTGAAGGGTCGGGGGTCGAAACAGACTTTGAGAGTTGACTTGACGCCGCTCTATGCAGGTACCTGAGATCTCTGGGGCACGCCGACCAGGGGAGGCCTTTGTTGCCCGTCGACTAGCCCGTTCAATCCATCGTTTCGGCTCCGTTGTCCGGTGCAGCTGGCTCCGGCTCGTGGACAAAGAGCGGAATCCTCTGCTGCTAGCAGGTCCAGTTATTAACCTACCTTGCATGAGCTACTGTACCAGACAAGTATTAGCGGAGAATGACAGGCCGTACAGTAAACAGGTGCAAGCCAAAGTCTCAGTGACAGAGCTGCAATACCTCGACGAGGCGACAGAATGTACAGTGTCCCCTGTGCAGCATGCCGTCGCTGAGCCCGGAAATAAAGTTATTCTCCAAGCATCTTCAGGCGCCGCGGCGGCTCAGCAGCCGCAGATTGCAGAAATCAACGGTAAAGGACAACCCTGGCGCTGTCGCAGATTAAAAGTACGGATGCCACTGATGCGGCTTCAGGCGTCTCGGGTTGGTGCCAGGCCCGGCTGGCCAATGGGGAGCCCGGACCGGCAGCCTCCATGTGGGCGCCTCGCGTTTCGGTTGCAGGCCATGGACGGAGACCCGAGACGACAAGCTGGGGCTCAAGGCACTGGGTGTTTGAGGGGCGGTTGACAGTGGAAGTGCACGGATGGAGCGGCGAGGTTTTGGTGATGGTGGAGGAGCTTGAAGTTGAGCATGAAGAGCCAATCTGGAGGTGCCTCTCTATGTAGAAGGGAAAGGGAAGGAAGGGGAGGCAGGGATAATCCGAAGCGGCTGCACGTGGCGGATGTACAACTACATGTACCCTTTCGGAGCACGGCGCAACTTGACGACTCCTTGAATGTTGCCATCTGTGCACCATCAATCATCGAATCTGCCCTATCGGTAAGGTGGCAGCTGGATTCGTGATTCACATTGGCAATGTCAAACTGCGATGGCTATGACATTCCCCTCGTTAAGCCTCATGACAGCTTCGATTGCCGCGCTTGCTGCCCCAATTTCTCCAACCCGGAACAATCTCCGCATCCTGTTTCTCCAACTCGAAACCCTTGGCGCAGTGTAATCGATCAAATAACGCAACGAGGATGAGCAGAGAGAAAAGACGGTACGGAGACAAGCATGCTTTCAAACACGAAACATTCCACAACATGACAGCGGGAATAGGTCCATTATCTCGTACCGCTGCATATGCCCGATGGCATCATCCGGCGCCTATGCGTAAGAAGCCCGGGCGTCTTGCAGCCAATCCATGGCATCTGGGTCATTACACAGGCCATCACTGTATCTGCATGCAAGGCGGCCCATTCTCAGGGCCATCCATAGACGTACGTAAAGGATGTATCGATATACTTCTACACTCGCAGTATCACGATACCAAGTCTTGACGTGCCCCAAACGGCGGGATACGGGATACGGAATACGGGATACGGAACTTGGCATCAATAAACGTCTTACACCCGTCCGTCAACCGCTCCGCCGAGGCTGAGAACAGACTCCATGACCTCGCGAAAGGGAAATGGGGCAATAAGGGAGCGCGTTTCATCTGAATCTGTCGCCACGAGCCTGACAAAAGATCTCAATCCGGTAAATCGGGACTGTTCATACCAACTCCCCCTGTCATCCTTACTACCCCAATATACTACTACTATTACCTACATACTTACCATTTCCCTATTTGCAACGCCATTGTAGACTAGACAGCCTCTCTTTTCAGCACGGTCGTCTCTATCTTGGGCTATATCCGAGAATGGCCAGAACGACCTTCTGCCTTTGGTTATATCAAGTACCATTTGCTGCTTCGCATGCAAACACACGTACACACCACACACCCGAAAGAGGAAATACCGATGAGGCATCGCTTGGCGCATCAAAGTAAACAAATGCGGAGGAGTCTGTAAATGGGGACAAAAGGGAATACCAGAGCATTCTGACACGGAAACTCTACAGAAGAAGCAGAAGGAATCCACACAGCTGCCACTCGTTCTCTTTTGACCCCCCGTCGTGAAACAACTCCTCAGCAGCACCTGTCTGAAACTGACATTCACCCGCCCCCCCTCGAAACAGCACTTCCCGGCCTCTGCAGTCTCTGGCTGACAGATGCTATCAGAAGCGGCGGCATTAGATGAGAGGGCATTGTATCTTCCCGGTCTCACCTTCTTGGCACGACGTCATACATGTTCCTCGCAACAGTCTCCTGAATGAGGGCTTCGGGGTGCCGATGCCGAAAGCCTGGCCGTTTCATCGTATGGTATGGAGACGAGAAGTAGGGGAAACGATAGAAGTAGAGCACCATAATCACGATGTTGGCTTAGAAATCGTTGGCCGTTTCGGAATACCCTGCGGCGAAACGAAGAAGACAGCAGACGCCGCCGGAAACGATTCTCTTGGCGATGATATTCTCCGTATTTGTTTCCCTGTGCATGACTCTTGCTCGAGATTCCTCCAGGGTTCTAAGATTGCTATTGCTGAAATCCAGTTCTGTACGTGTATCCAAAATCATGTCCGCTCGCTTTCACATCGTATATGCGACCAACCAAATATGAGCCGGGTATCCAAGCAAGAGACTCCACACTTGTCCCAAACACTTCGATTACAACTCTCCAACAAAGGGCTTCTCTGACTCGTCCACAAGCTCAAAGTCAAGCTCATCAAGAGGCTCCTCGGCATCATAATCCGCTGGCAATTCGCCGGTGTAGTTGGCCTCTCTCTTCTTGTACTCATCCACAATGCGGTCTAGCCACGCCGCCATGCGGTATCCTGCGCGGGCAACTTGCTTTTCGAGGATAGGCGCCGCCTTTTCATAGTACTCGCCGCTCAACTCCTGGCCGACAATGGCCTTGGGGCCCTCGGGAAAGACTAATCACTGGTCAGACGGTTTTACATTTTGGAGGATAATCATCAGGTTGAGCTTACCATATTCGCACACGAGGCTGTTGCATTCCCGCGACCAGGCCATTGCTGTAGCCTCAAAGTCGCCAAAATCCAAGTCTGCCAGCCAAGCCTCCTTCTCGTCGGCATATGCGCCGCCGACAATCTTCTCGGTGAGGGCAGCGGACCACTTCTGCGCCACGAGATACGGCTTCCCGCGCCCAATCAGCTTCTCCGCAATGGAGCTGTCCCAGACGTGGTGCAGGTTGTAGTCCCGGCCATCCCACTTGACGTGGATGCCGTTTCCTCCCCTCGAGACGTCCTCGTTGTGCAGCGGCTGGTGCAGGTCGCCGACGAAGTGGATGACGAACTTGGCGGCCTGGGCGCGCCGCCACGGCGGCAGTGCGGGATCGAGGGACTGCTCGGTGTAGTTGGCCAGCGCGGTGATGACGCAGCCCGTCTCCTTGCAGTCGCGCTCAAAGTCGACGTTGCACGACTCGGGCGGGTTGTCGTGCGCGTCGATGAAATGGAACGTGCTCGTGAATCGGCCCCATTTGGTGTACCGGATCGAATCGGCCCAGCTGGCTACCTTGGCCATGTAGTCGGACTCATTGCTGCGCAGGAGCTGCTTCAGGTAGGCCTCTGTCGAGTTGGAAACGAAGTTGCTGGCGATGTAGGCGGTCGTGATGTGGCCGAGACCTGGTGTAAGGAAGATGAGTGTTAGAACTAGTGGTGTGGTGTTGACAATGGGTGTCACGGGGGAAGACGATACACACCTCCCCAGGCCAGCGCCCCCGGCAGGGAGACGAGGCTGAAGGCGACGGCATTTGAGAGCTTCATGGCGCAGATGGTGCCAGATCAGTGATGCAGCAAGCAAATGGAGGTATATCTATCTGCCTTTCCTTTGGCTATCCACGGGATGAAATGGAAGACTGGAGGTTGAATTAATGCTGTTGATGTATGTAAAGAAGGGAGGCGATGCAGGCAGTGACCAGCCAGGGAGGCCGAACTGAAGCTACCCCAGAATCAGCTCTCCGCACGCGCCCTGAGCCACACGCCAGCTGCCAATCAAAGGGGGTTCAGCCACTGCGTGCGGTCTCTGGACAAGCACTTTGTACTTTGTAGAACACAAAGGGATCACATCACACGCCCTGTATTACCGGTGAAGCCTCCCTGAGTGCGTCACCTGGGCGCCCGTTGAGCCATGTGCCGGCTCCAGGTGGGAACGGTCAGGCCAGCCCCTGCGAGTTGTGTCGTCACTGAAGCTGCGACCTCGGCAGGTCACTCCTTTACTGGAGTACCAAGAACAGCCATTGACTTTGTTACCTAAGAGGCTTCGGCAGGTGCCTGACGCGCATGGCGACCGCATGCGAGATGATATAAACTTAGGAGCATACTGAGGAGCCAACATGGAGGAAGTCATGTCTGTAGTGTAGCACAGCGACGGGATACAGACTCTTTGGCCAACGAGATAGATACCAGTTGATGCAATCCAGCGATACGGAGTGAAGAGTCACGCAGCGCTGGATTACAGTGGACGGAGCGACTAGTAATGCAGCAGCCCATGCACCCATAAAATGGACCCTTATCTGCTAGTCTCCTTTCGTGCAGAGTTGGGTTGTCCCCAGCCAATCACGGCCTACGATTTTATCGCTGACCCGCGAAGGCCTCTTCTCTTCTCAGCTGCTGCCGCTGTGATGACTCTGATAACGTACAGAAGGGCGGCTGATCTCGTGAGGCTCCGACCAGCCGAAGCTCTCGAGCTCTTGCGCATACTCTTGTTCTCTCTTCCATTTGCTTTCGGAATCTTTGCTTGCCTGGCTGGTCTCTCCTCCAAGACACAGAGGACTCTTGCTTGTCTTACCTCCTACGCTCACTCGCTGCGGTGCAGAATCAACTCGAGTCCTTATCATGGCGTCCCTTGCGATGGCCGCGGTGGAGGGCGCAAAGCAGCTGCCTCTCCACGAGGCCATCTCGGGCATCTTTGGCAGCATCAGCATGGCCGCTTGGATCTGTGTCATTGTACGTATCGCACTCTCAAGTTCTGGCACCAAAAGAGCACCCTCTAACCGCGACAACCCCGACAGCTGCCCCAGATGATTGTCAACTACCGAGCGAAGAGCGCCGACGGACTGAGTATATCCTTTCTCGTCGTCTGGATGATCGGCGATGCTACAAACTTGGTCGGTGCGTAATCTTCACGACTTTGCGAAGAGCAGGCACTTCCCGCCTACAGGCGTCGTGAGCGAGCTGACTCTCGCATACTAGGCGGCCTCTTCACGCACCTGGCCCCGACCGCCATTGCGCTGGCCTGGTACTTTTGCGTCGCCGATTTCCTCCTCATCTCGCAGTGCCTATACTACAACTCGGTCAACGCGCGCCGGGCTGCCGAGGCGGCCGAGGCCAACGAAGATGCGCCCCTCCTCGGAGAGCGACGCCCGTCGCATCGCCGCCGCTCCATCGCAAGCGAGGACGGCGGCAAGATTGCGCCGGCCGGCGACGAGCTGATTGAGCGCTCTTCGTGGTCTTCCAATGCAGCCTGCCTGCTCGGCGTGTACGTTGTCGGGTTTGCGGGTTGGTATCTCTCATACAAGGCTGGGGCCTACAACGAGACGGATCCGGTCGTGGTGAATGCTGCGTCGGACTTGTTGGAGAAGATTGGCATGGTGCTTGGGTACTTTAGCGCAGTTTGCTATCTCTGGTATGCTTCAAATCTTTGTATCGAGTATACCCAGGACAAGACTGACCTGTTTAGTGCTCGCATTCCTCAGATCATCAAGAACTATCGAGAGAAGTCGTGCGAAGGTAAGCCATTTGAGTTCGAAACTGATCGGTTTTATAATGTGCTAATTGATATGCCAGGCCTCTCGATTCTCTTCTTCATGCTCTCCTTGACCGGGAACCTGACGTACGCCATCAGCATCGTCGCCTATTCCCAGGAGAAGAAATACATTATCAACACCATCCCCTGGCTGATCGGATCGCTTGGCACCGTCGTCGAGGATGCTACCATCTTTGTGCAGTTCCGACTATACGCCAACAACAGGCGAAGCGACGCTGTCCAGGCATAAAGCAGCATGGCTGTAGCTTTCGCCTCAACGGTGGGCGCGTTGCAGAGAAGAGAACGGCATTGCTCGACTTGGCATATCCGGTGTTTACTCGTTTGGATTTAGGTGATTTGGAATACGGTGTCACGGTGTCTTCACATGGCGTTCGGGTGACGGGAATTGTCTGTTTGTGTTGACCTCTTAGATACAGGTCAAAGGCATAGATAGAGCCCAGCGTGAAGAGTGCTCAGCTCGTCTCGTGACAGGCAGCCTCAGGGATAGATTCTTCGGAGACCTTGTTAGCATCGGTTGTTCTTTTGTCTATTCTACTATTTATTTATCCTCTTTGTCGAATCTCTTGCTAGATGTCAATTGAGTCATTTTCATCAAAGTTGCCTTCTATCGACTTACCTTATATCGTCTGCTAATCCAAATCCACGGCCGGCGCCATTATCTGCAGTAAAAGCTCCGGCACCGCGCAAAAGAGCCTAGTCTGACGTCTGGCGACGCTCCGATGGCGGGGCAGCGAATCGAGCTGCAAGTCATACCCGGGAAGGCGATGGTCCCAGCTTTTGGAGATCAAACTTTATATAAGAAAACTTTTGGCTGCAAGACGCTCGAATTACATTTCAAATCATTTCAATCGGGATCTGGGCCATCCTCTTCCTTATAAGTTCTCACGGTCCTCACTGCAGATTAGATACCCCTCTTTTCTAATCAACTGCTGCGATTGCGACATCCCGCGTCATCGGCTCCCTCCATCTGACTTCTTGTCTTGCATCTCACATCACACAACTGCTTGCCATGGCGACGCAATCTCCTCGCAAGAAGTGCGGTAGGAATCCATTGCCATAGAACCTCTACTCCTTCGAGGGACCAAACAATCGAAACTGTTTCTAATCGACCCATTCTTAGGCGTCCTCGGCTGCACTGGCTCCGTCGGCCAGCGCTTCATCCTCCTCCTGCAAGGCCACCCGACGCTCGACCTCCACGCCATCGGCGCCTCGGCTCGCTCCGCCGGAAAGAAGTACAAGGATGCCGTCCGGTGGAAACAAGCCTCGCCCATGGGCGACGTTGCCGACTTGGTCGTGAGGGAGTGCCGGCCGGAGGAGTTTGCGGACTGCGACGTGGTGTTTAGCGGGCTCGATTCCGATGTCGCCGGCGAGATTGGTGCGTATATGCATTCCTTTCCTTGACGATTCTCTGTCCATGATCATGAACAAGATTGCTCACAAGTATCGCAATGGCAGAAATGGCCTTCCTCAAGGCCGAGATCCCCGTCTTCTCCAACGCCAAAAACTACCGCCGCGACCCCCTCGTCCCGCTCGTCGTCCCGACCGTCAACCTGCCTCACCTCGACCTGATCCCGCACCAGCGCTCCGTCCACGGCCTGTCCAAAGGCTTCCTCGTCTGCAACTCCAACTGCGCCGTCATCGGCCTCGTCATCCCCTTCGCCGCCCTGCAGGCCGCCTTCGGCCCCATCTCCGACGTCAGCATCGTCACCATGCAGGCCGTCTCCGGCGCGGGCTACCCGGGCGTCTCCAGCATGGACATCATGGACAACGTCGTGCCCTTCATCTCGGGCGAGGAGGACAAGCTCGAGACGGAGGCGAGGAAGATCCTCGGCGGCATCGACGACGCGCGCACCGGCTTCGTCGAGCAGCAGGCCCTCCGCGTCTCCGCCTCGTGCAACCGCGTCCCCGTCATGGACGGCCACACGGCCTGCGTCAGCCTCAAGTTTGCGCGCCAGCCGCCGCCGTCGCCCGAGGAGTGCAAGGCCGCGCTGAGGGCGTACGTCTCCGAGGCGCAGAAGATTGGGTGCCCGTCCGCGCCGAACCCGCCCATCAAGGTGTTTGACGAGGACGACCGGCCGCAGCCTCGCCTGGATCGCGACCTGGGTAGGGGATATACCGTCAGCGTGGGCAGGGTGCGGGCCGACGACAGCGGGCTCTTTGACTTGAAATTTGTTGCGCTGAGTCACAACAGTGAGTTTGCCTTGTCGCCTTGTTTCCTTGTTTCTCCATCCTGTGTTCTTGGAACTTGTTCAGGGTAAATGATGAGAGCTAATCGATGATTTTTACTTCTAGCGGTTATCGGAGCGGCTGGCTCATCTATACTGAATGCCGAAGCTGCCATCCTCAAGGGCTACATCTAGGTAGTATGCGTTTTGGAGATGTATAGCTTTGTAGACGTATCAGGTGTACATTAAATCAAAAGCACATGGGTTATGACTGGATACAGAAAAGATTAAACTTGAATTGATATCGCTATAGTACTACCTGTTGCGCCATCTTGATATGTGAACTCATCTGATCATGAAACGTACGTCAACAACTATGTTACCCTACATCACATTCTTTTCCAGTGGCATAATGTATGTTAACGTCCTGGGTATCATTTCGTCATCCTGTGCGCCGTGTAGCTATGCTTCATAAAAAAGGACCATGACAAATTCCCTTCTATCTCTCCCGCCCAGCCGTGCATCCCAGTGGTACACACGTACGAATCGTGACGTTCTTCCCCCGTTTCCCAGATGCGTTCCCTTCGCACAAGTGTAAAAGACTTTCATTATCGCTTCGAACAGAACCCTGAACCCCCCTTTCTATAATCGCTTGCCAAGACCATATTACTATTATATCATGTAGCCCCTTGATAATCCGCTTGCTGTGTATCGAAAATAAGCCGTCCGGTGTGATATGTGATGATCAGGCCGGGTGAGGATCGTGGATGACCGTCAGTAAGTACTTCTGGTCGGGCACTATGACAATCTCTTGCTTCTTCGTTCGCAGTCGGAGGAGCTTCAATTCATCCTGCAGCTCGAATTAGCCAACCTGCATGTCACCCATCACCTGCATAACATGCAAGCCATCAAGAAGAAAAAAAGGGGGCTCTCGTTGAAAAGCGCCCGCCGCAAGGGGGGAGTCGCGCGCGTTTGTTGTTTAAGTTACCTCCGTGTCCACGTCCTGCACCAGCTGCCCGGAGCTGTTGACAAAGTTCCAAATCATCTCGGCAAACTCCTCGACGCCGTGCGCCTCGCCCTCCTCCGCGGCGGGGGCGTCGTTGGAGAAGGAGGCCGCCGTCGACGCGTTGCGCGACTTGGCCGTCTGCAGCGCGTCCAGCTGGCCGCTCGTCTTGAGGATCGCACCCGTCGCGCGGTCCAGGACGATGCTGGCCCTGACGCCGGGCTTCCTGGCGAGGCGGCCAAGTTTCTCCTCGAGAGCGTCGTGCCCGTTTGTCTATAAGGGGAAGAGGGCGGATTAGCTGGGGGGGTGAATGCGCAAAGCGGGAGTGGGAAATATGGAATTTGCCACGGAATGTGTAGACTGAGGTTTTCGCGTACCGTGGGGTTCTCTGACATATTTGTTGCTTTGCTTTCTCTGTTGTGTGTAGGTTCTTCCTAAAGGGCCGGCATGCGATTCCGGTGACAAGAGCTCCAGAGTTCCGGCGCTTGGTCGGCTCTCTCAGGGTGCGACCCAGTTGCGGCGCATTGACGTATTACATAGCCCACAGGCGCAATCGCGGCACGTTGGGGATTCTGCCGCGCGCCACCGCCAAAATTTGCAGACCCGCGGACAACGTCTTGCGCCTACAGCAGATGTGAAGGCTGGAAAAGCCAATCGTCAACGAAGAACAGTGAGGTCTCACTACAAAAGTGCCAAAGACCAGTCTAGATTCTATCCGACACTCAATCTATCTATATATTTGCTACAGAATTATCCTAAAAAAAAGGGTCGCCAACATGGGTTCCAGCGCGAGGAAGAAGCAGGAGAAGAAGAAGGATTTTCAGGTACAGACGCTTCACATGTCCCTGCTTGTATGAGCGCCCATCTTGCTAACGAAATGCCAGAAACCCAAATACAAGGTCGGAAAGGCCAAGCCAAAGGCCTCAAATTTTACAGACACAAGCTTCAAATCGAAAGGTATGTGGCTTTCAACCATTGTCGCCAAGGCTCTCACTGACACTCACCAGCAATTGTTATGAACCAGCAGTCACTATCAACCGTCGCCCCCGATGTCGTCCAGCAATTCAAACACAACCTCTCTCTAGCGTCCTCGTCACGGTCTGATAAACAGCGGCGTGACGCCTTGGCATACCTCACCAGCCAGCTCTCCTCCCATCCACCAGTGAATCCCGTCGGGACAAACATCCTCCTCTCAAAACTCCTTCCTCTCATCTCAGACAGTTCAACGCCAGTCCGAAGTCAGCTGCTGAAGCTCCTGCGAGCGCTCCCGGAAGAGGAAGCCAAGCACAGCACCGAACAGGCCATCATGTTCATCCGGGCAGGCATGACGCATCTGTCGGCCGATATTAGCGGCGACTCCCTTGGGGTTATGGAGTGGCTTCTTGACGTGGCTGAGGACGAGCTTGTCACCATCCCTGGCGGGTGGGTCAAGACTCTGAGCACATTCTGTGTCACCATGGGCTGGTCTCTTTCATCGGCTGCTCATGGCTGGACCTCGGCTGCTCGAAGTAGTCTTCGTGCCAAGGACGCTCAGACACTCGCACGCCAGATATCCATTCTATCCAGGTTTCTCCAAGCCGGACTCCGATCAGAGACGGCAGCCGTGCCCAGCTCGGAAGAATACTGGGACAGCTTCTATGGGTTGCCACGTTCTTCAAATGCCTTTGAGTATCTCAACTTGTTTGGTTCACGGCGCGACGAGGAGGGAGAAATGTATCCGAACCGAGAAGCGAGGCAGCAGGTATTCTATCGGAGATTCTTCGAGCCCGTTACAAAAGGGATCGAAAAGGTTAAGAAAGAAGGCGGGGCGGCTGGGAGAGCAGCGGTTGGGCTCGATCAAGTGTTGAAGAATGGGATGGGCGATTATGCTGCTTCCGCTGGAATGGATGCTCAGGACTTGTTAAACCTGTGGTAGATCGTATTAGCTGATACCCTTTTCTGCATGCTTTCTTGGAAATATAGATCACCACATGGTCACGCTGCCTCGGCTCCCTGCAGCATATCGACTGAACAAGGCCGTACTGTTATCCTTCTGATCAGGAGTGTTTTTGTAACTTTGAAATATCTAGTCATGCTGGTCATCTCTTGCTCACTTTAGCATACAGTCATTAATGTACGAACCCGCTCAAAGCGGGCAGAGGCAGTGATGCTCTCGAGATCTTTGCTCAGTATCTGTCACTACAAAGAGTAGGCGCGAGTTTTGCTGGACATGGTGTCTTATAGACTACATGTAATGCCTAGTAGCCAGAGCTTATAGGTAGTGACGATATGGCTATGAAGGGGAACGAGTTCTCCAGTCAGCCTCAAGCTCATGTCTCTCCTTTCTGCAAGACGAACTGTCTTATGTTGCGCGAGAAGTGGCTGCCCGAAGGGCTTCCCCATGACCGGAATGAGATGACAGGCCGAGGAGAGAGAAGTAAGGCATCCGTGAATGCCTCAACTATGCATGCAGCTTGGCTTCCTGCAGATGACCACACCTACCAGCAGCGTGTCACCAAGGTAAAGCCCCCTGGTACAATACTGGTACAATAACAAGCGGCGAAGCTTGGATTCGCTTCCTCTGTAGGCTAAAGCTTGGTCATCAGTGCTTTGGAACAATCAAATCAAGGTCTTTTGCTCTGTGCCAGAGGTTCCCGTCGTTATCAAGATAATTGCTACAGTGGATTCGTCCCCTCCTATAGGCTTTCCATCCCCCTATTCTTCTCGCTTCGTCCATCTCTAGGCATCCTCCTCGCCCTGAAACAACTTCCTCAGTGCTTGCAGTCCACTAAGAGCTGCACATCTGCAGTGAATCACGCCTTCTTCGGAGAGTGCCTTAACGCACGTGCCGTTGCTTCTGCAACTGCTTCCTCAGGCAGAGCCCTCACCGCCCGCCGCTTTATTATTGCCAGCTGCTTCTGCTTCCATCTTCGCCTTTCCTCTCCCTCTCCTCTTCTCTTCTTTCCTCACCCGCCTCATCTCTAGAGCGAAGAGATTGAGATTCCATCCGCGAAGCACTAGCATTCGGGCTACCTCTCCAAGGCCGGCTGCTTCTCTTCTACCCTTTCAGTTTGTTCTCCTGTTTTCTTTTCCTTTCCGAGGATCACTTCATCTCTCGAGCAAAGAGAACCTCTGTCAACAAAACTATAGCATCTGGGTCACATTTTATCAAGGTAAGTGGTAACATCTCATCGTCCTCTATCCTAGTCGCCTTGTGATCGCTTGGATCGATGTGACCTGGCCCCTCGCCTGAGCACGGTGCTGCCTCATCCTTCTGCTGTCCCGTACCAGGCTGTCTTTGTTGCCAGCCCTTTGTGCTTTTCGGGGCAGCTAGCTACTTAGGTTGTGTTTACTCTATGCAATTCCTCAAGTCATCACAATCCATCGCCAAGGGTCTCTGCTCATTCGCGTCTATTATCCATTGCTTTTCACTTCAACTTCACTCAGATATTTCTCACTTGCTGTTACTCATGCTCTCTTTTTTCGTTGCGTCACGTCACTCCTTACTGGATATCGTTGTTGACACTTCGCTAGTGTGTCACACGCCCGCCCCTCGTCTGGGATATCCCGAGTCAATGATGGCAATTCCTGAGAACGGCTCGGTCGTCGATGATGGTGGCCAACCTGCCCCTCCCGGCTGGGTCGAGCGCACTGCGTTCGACTACACGGCCATGGCCGATGCCCAAGCAGGCTCCACCTGGGACGGAAATGCCCGTGTATACAGCTGGAGGGACGAGTACGGCGATGTCGGTCCCGAGATTGCTGAACTCGAAGCTGAGTTGTTTGGATCTCCGGAAGACCGCGATCAGCGTGTCGGTGGTGGTCTCGATTTCTCCGCGTCAGTCTCTCCTCTCCAAACAATCTACGTCCATGCTAATCCCAAGTACACAGTATCGACAGCATCGAGGTCATCCAGGAAGGTCCGCAGCGGATCGAATACATCAAGACCTTTGAGGATGCCGGACTTCATCCTGTTATGGCCAAGAACGTTCAACTTTCGGGATATCAGGTCCCGACTCCAATTCAGAAGTTTACGATCCCAGCCATTCTTCAAGGCTATGATGTGATTGGCATCGCTCAAACTGGTGAGTCTATATCCTGGTTACTCTGGTATTAGTGTCTAACATTCTCGACAGGTTCTGGAAAGACCGCTGCCTATCTGATTCCGATTCTGAGCAAGTTGATGGGCAAAGCGAAGAAACTTGGAGCTCCTCGCCCCAACCCTCTTACCTTCCAAGAGGGTATTGACAACGTGACTGCGGAGCCACTTGTCGTTGTTGTTGTGCCAACTCGAGAGCTGGCCGTGCAAATCTTCAACGAGGCCAGAAAGCTGTGCTACCGATCGATGCTGCGACCCTGTGTGGTCTATGGCGGCGTCCCCATTCGTGAGCAGCTGGGCCTCCTCTCCCGAGGTTGTGACGTTTTGATTGGCACTCCTGGCCGTCTCAAAGACTTCATCGGACGGCCCGACAAGGTGACTCTGCGTCGCCTCAAGTACATGGTGATTGATGAGGCCGACGAGATGCTGAACCAGGATTGGGAGGCCGAACTCCGCCCCATTCTCTCTGGAGGAGGCAAGTGATCTCTTCCCCGAACCTATCGTCTCTCGTACTAACGATATCCCAATACAGAGCAGGATGAAGGCAATGTCAAATATGGACTCTTTTCTGCCACTTTCCCTCGTGCTGCTCGTACTCTCGCCAAGGAGTACTTGTCTGCGTCACATGTGCGCTTCCGAGTTGGCCGAGCTGGAAGTACGACGGTGAACATCAGGCAGATGGTGATTGAGACCACCCGAGAGAAGAAAAACGAGCTTCTGCTCACACTCCTGGAGGAGATGAATGGTGTGCGCACCATTATCTTCGTCAACAGCCGCCAGGCTGCCGATACGCTCGATGATTTTCTCTACAATATGAAGCTTCCTGTCACTTCGATCCACAGTGATCGGACTCAAGTCGAGAGAGAGGCAGCCATGCGAGCCTTTCGAAGCGGCCAGGCTCCTATCCTCGTGGCAACCGGCATCACAGCTCGTGGTATTGACGTCCGCAATGTGATGCACGTCATCAATTACGACCTGCCGTCGATGGAGTATGGCGGCATTGAAGAGTACACTCATCGAATCGGTATGTATCAAGTTCTTCCCGCATCTCGCATCTGACGACGACTAACCTTTAACCAGGTCGTACTGGTCGCATCGGCCATAGAGGAGTGGCTACCTCCTTCTTTACCGATCGCGATGAAGGCATGGCAAGCGTCCTCACCAGGACCTTGTTGGAGACCAAGCAGGAGATTCCCGCATTCCTCCAACCATATGTTCCCGAAAACTACGCCAAGGGCACCAAGGTGAAGTTTGAGACGGAGTCAGACTTTGATCCCAATGATGTTGCAGGTGCTGGAGATGCTGCGGGAGGAGGCTGGGGCGGAGACAACAGTGGTAACACTGGCAACGCTGGCAATGCGGATTCTGGCGCCGGCGCTTGGGGTGGAAATGACAACGCCAATGCTGATTCTGGCGGCGGTGGTTGGGGCAGCGGCTCTGCGGCCAACAATGAGGCTGCGAATTCGGGAAGCGGCTGGGATCAGGCGGCTGACAACAAGTCCGGCGACGCCTGGGGAGCACAAGGCTCGGGTTCTGCTGCGTGGTAAGGACGGGATATCAATTGCTAAACTTGAAGCTGCTATTTCCAGCTTTTTCGGTATGGACTTTTCTAGGGCAAAGGGAAAAACACAGGGCAAAGGGATAACGGTTATGGGATTTTATGTCTCCTGAGATAGTGAATGGTCTCGAGGCCATCTTGAATTTACATCAAGGAATATATGGATCTCTATAATGGCTGGCGCAAACATTGACTTGCGATGTGACATGCTGTGGCACGAGCCCTTGAGGATGTACCGTAGGCAAGGCAGGAGTAGGTCGCTCGGATTGCTGTTGTGTGGTTATAAGGTGAGTGAGTTATTATTATTAGTTCCCTCCTTTGATACTTTTGTCTGAGAATTACAAGTATCGTCGAGGTGATATTACAAGTACACGGAGGTAAGAGGTGAAGTACTCTATCCAGCTATTATCTATAAGCCCAGTGTTCTGAATCTCACAAAGGTATATATGTTCCTGCATGCCTGTACGTCTACATGTTCTTCAAAATCTTGGCCAGGCCAGCAACCTTGGTGCCCAGGGATCCATATCCCACCTCGACAACACCCTGGGTGAAGCGCCAGGAGCGGTCCTGGTTGGGGACGGGATACTGGACGGGGGGCGGGATGGCCGTCTTGATGCCGAGCCAGCCGAAGCGGTCCTCGCAGATGGCCTTGACGTTGCAGAGGCCGCGCAGCCCCTCCTCGCCGGCGAAGCGGCCGTAGCCGGAGCCGGCGACGCCGCCAAAGGGCAGCTGGACGGCGTAGTAGGCGGCGAAGTCGTTGACGGCGACCATGCCGGCCTTGAGGCCGCGGACGATGGGCTCGAGGGCGGGGTCGCGCTCGGAGGCGTGGACGGAGGCGCCGAGGCCAAAGTCGGGGCTGTTTGCGACGGCGAGGATGTCCTCGGCGGAAGAAGAGCGGGCGCGGAGCATGGTGAGGACGGGGGCGAAGCACTCGGTGCGGGCGATGCGCATGTCCGGGGTGACGTCGACGAGGAGGGTGGGCTGGAAGTAGTGGCCGCGGGGGTAGGCCGGGTGGGCGAAGCGGGCGCCGCCGGCGAGGAGGCGGGCGCCCTGGGAGACGGCCTCGGCGATGAGCTCCTCGAGGCGGGCGAAGGAGGCGTCGGAGATCATGGCGCCGACGTCGGCGTCCGGGCCGAGGCGGATGGCCTTGACGCGGGGCTCGAGGAGCTGGACGAGGCGGTCGTAGACGGGGCCCGAGGCGATGACGCGCTCGATGCCGATGCAGTTCTGGCCGGCGGCCTGGAAGGTGCCGCGGAGGATGACGTCGACGATGCGCGGCAGGTCGCGGGCGGCGGACTCGAGGACGATGAAGGGGTCCTTGCCGCCGAGCTCGGCGACGACGGGGGTGAGGCTCTTGGCGGCGCTGGCGGCGACGTGGTGGGCGACGGCCTGGGAGCCGATGAAGGTGATGTGGCTGATGCCCGGGTGCGACGTCAGGTGGCCGGCCGTCTCGGGCCAGCAGACGACGGCCTGGACGAGGCGCGGGTCGTGGCCGTGGGCGGCGAGGGCGCCGCGGGCGATGTCGAGGAAGTAGCCGCTCGACCAGGCCGTCTGCTCCGAGACCTTGACGAGGATGGCGTCGCCGGCGAAGAGGGCGCTGATGACGGGGCCCATGAGGTTGTGGAAGGGGTAGTTCCAGCTGACGAGGGCGGCGACGACGCCCAGGGGCTCGTAGCGCACCGTGTTGCGCTTGTACGCCATGAGCAGGTTCGTGGGCCGGCGCGACGGCCGCAGCGCGCGCTCGCCGTGGGCCAGCGTCCACTGGATCTTCTCGGCCGTGACGAGGATCTCGCCCAGCTGCGCGTCCACCATGGTCTTGCCGCTGTCGAGGCCCGCGACGCGGCAGATGCGCTCGGCGTTGTCCATGACGTGCTGCAGCAGCGACCGCAGCACGGCCCTGCGCTGGTCAAACGTCGTCGTGGCCCAGGTCCTCTGGGCTTCCGCGGCGGCGGCGACGGCGCGGTCGATGCCCTCTTCCGTCGTGGGCTCGACGGCGCCGAGGAACTGGCCTGTGGCGGGCGCGTAGCACTGGATGGCCGAGCTGCCAGGGATCCTAATTCTCGTGCTCGTGCTCGTGCGCTCGACAGAGGATTCATTCTCCTCCTTCTTCTCGGCGGGGAGGGCGGGCGGAGGGACGACGTAGTGGCGCGGGCGCGAGGCTGTGGCTGCGATGGCGGCGGCGCCGGCGGCGCGGACGATGAGGCCGCAGATGACGGTTGCGACGAGGGCGATGGATGCGTGGATGGCGGCTGGTCTTTTGATTTTCGGGGACGTCTTGTTAGCTGTTGGGATTCTGTAGATTCGTGGAGGAAGTAATACGCACGAGATGTCGAGCTGGGAGCCCAAGCGGGCGCTCAAGGCGCCGATGAGCGACACGAGCTGCTCCACGAGACGCTCCATTGTCCGATGCCTCCGCGTCGCATCCGCCTACAGGGAGGAAAGCTCGCAGGCGAGAAACGAAAAATGTGGTAGTAGTAGAAAAGAAGACGGGGGAACAGGAGGGACAAGAAATCAGGCGATTGCGCCATGAGGAAAGTCGTTCGAAGTTCAAGGGACCGACGGACTGTGGGGCTGAATCCAGGGGGGGCTTGCTGGAAAATGGAATTGGCCAATCGTTGGTGAGAAGACAGTCAACTCAGCCTTGTTTGGGCCCAAACGGACCACAACTTGAACGTTCAAGCAGTACATACCTACTGCACGTTGTGTGAATGAGTTTATAGAGTAAATTGTGTGCTTTTGCGAAACATCAGGTTGATTGCAAAGGCTCAGTGGGATCTTGGAATTCAAGAAAGACTAGAGACGCAAACAGCATGGAGCATCATCCTCCAGGAAACAAAGCGAACACCAAAAATTCAATGTCCTATGCGTAGATGACAATCTCTAGCCAGGTTCAACCTCCAGCCCTTCTTCCTCCTCCCCCTCTGTCTTATCGCAGTTTGCCACAACTTACCCTCAAACAGTCCAAGAGAAGAGAGGAAGAGAGAGAGAGAAAGCCTCTCGGTAAGGGTAAGCTCAAAGAGCACAAAAAGACGTAGTGAGAAAAACCCAGGAAAAGTGTAACGCTTTTTCTTTTCTTTTTTTTTTTTTTTTCTAGCGTTGCTCCCCTTTCCCACTCATTCCCGTATCACTACTACTCACTGTTTCAAGGAAACGACACGAATTCAACTTCGCACCAGACATCTTTCATAATGAGGATTCTACTGCATGTAATTCGAACCATAGGCACATGAGAATGTATATGTGAATATAGCGTGTTCGCTACTTCTCTCAAGTCTAGTATGCAACAACAAACATAACAAAGCCCCTAGGCGAGCTCATCCGGACAAGACGAAAGCAGCCACAAGACCTGCGGCCATCAAACGGGCGAGAAAGAAGTGCATCTCAAAACCGAGTTGCGAGTCGAAAAAAGCAGAAGCATATATATCTCAAACAATCAGAACGGTAGAAACAGAAAAAAAAAAAAAAAAGGAAAGGAAAAAGTAAGCGACAAGCAGAAAAACACACGCGACCCATTGTTGTCCCATTTCCCCTTTCTAACGCCATGCATATTGAAAAACAGACAGAAAAGAGAGGAAAAGCAGGCCTTTCTTTCCTCCAGCTTTCCTCCCTTATCTTGCCTTCAAAGAAAATAGGTCGACTCCTTCCCTTCTCCTTTTCCTTCCCGGTAGGCCTTCGTTCCTTTTCTCGTCTTCCTTCGTCTCGTGTTTCCTCTTTCCACTCCTACCCCTTGAAGAGGCAGGTCGTATCGTGATTCCACGTGTTACGCATTCACACGCATCAGCCCCCCCTTGTTTTTGTATGTTTTTTGTGTGTGAATTTTTTTGTCTTCCATTTGTGCGGTTGCAACTGTAAGGTACGGTGCGTTGCATTGGGTCAATGCACGCCTATATGCGGACGTCATTAACAAGGAAAAGAGGGCGATGATGGAAAAGAGGACCGCAATTCATAGATCGCTCATGCAGATCGTCGAAAGCATGACATGAATTGGCCCGATGCAGATGGTGCAATACAAAAAACATCTCGACAGCCGTTTGTGTTGCATCTTAACAGCAAGAGAAAGAAGAAAAAAGAGAAACAAATATGAACTAAAAGTGGGAATATAGAGACTGTGTCGTGATGTAAATATACAACGAAAAGCAAAAACAGGGCGCATTATCTTCGTCTCTCTCTTCTCTCTTGAAGCACACAGCCCATCACATTCTATACATTAGCGCTCTTGGTCAATGATAGCCCGCGCAACCGTGAAGTGAGGCCTGAGGCGGCGTGGGAGCGACTGGACTCGATGCGGGACAGCCGGGCAGCAGACGTAAAGTCGCTGCTGGCCTCGTAGCTGTATCGTATGCGGTCCATTGACTGTCGCATGCGATCATATGACGGTCTTGCCCGGTCTATGCTCTGCCGGTTCTGCTGCGCTGGCACTTCGAGAGAGAAGCGGTTGCCCGTATAATTAGTGCTGTCGCTGCCCGTCTGGCTGTGGTAGTTTTGCGTTGTTGTTCGCGTCACCGTCGACGGAGGGTAGATGGGTCGCAGATCCTCGTCAACGCTGGCATATTGGGCGTGCTTCGCTCGTGAGCTGCCGGACGACTTGGACTTCTGGCTCTTCTCGTCACCAATCGCTTCTACCGTGGTGCTCTCTGACTTGAGGTGAGCAAAGGCACCCAGTCTATCCTGCTCTCGGATGATATCCACGTCGTAGGGGAAGAAGACTTTCTGCAGCGACTTGATGGCAAATCGCGGGAACAGGCAGATGACGGGAACGAGCACGAAGACGGCCCAGAAGGTCGCCTCGCCGTATACCTCCTTGGCAGCCCCGTAAAATTGGTCAGACCCGGTAAACGATGTGTAGATGCCAGTCCAGAAGAAGATGAAGATGTCACTAAGTGCCACGATGAGTAGCATCAGCCAGTCCCATCGGTACGTGTTCATCAGGATGTAAGCGTTGATGGTCAGGACTGCGGGGTGCGCGATGTAGGCTCCGAATCGGTATCGATCGTCAATTCCCAGGCCGTTCATCGTCACGGGCCGTGCAGGTTGGAAGAGCAGATATGGAATGTAGTAAACCATGACGGACTGATAAATACCGTCCAACATGTAAAGCCTATGTGCGGGTTAGCCTTTTCATTTTCTGAAAGAGAGAGGGGGGATAAGAAAGGAGAAAAACTCACCAAAACTTCTTCTGCGTCCATTCCAGTCGTTCGATGCCACGGCGATACAGCTGCGGCACGGCCAACGAGACGGCATCCGAGACATCCTGATCAAGCACGCCCATGATGGCAACCGGCACCGAAGTGAAGAACAGGTTGAACATCAGGATGTAGGTGTAATCGAAGAGATATGTCATGTCGAAGTTGGTGTAAATGGAGAACCAGAAGATGCTAAAAGTCCACACCATGTTCTTGTAGAAGAAGTTGGGGATGGACTCGGCCAAGCGGCGGTATGACCAGCGTCCGTGAACCAGCACCAGTCGCTGCAAGAATCGGAACTGGGCAATGGCATAGTCGGAAGACATGGCGGCCTGTCGGCCCTCGACACCAGCGATACCGACGCCGACATCGGCTTCTTGGATCATGGCAACGTCGTTGGCACCATCACCAATGGACAGAGTCATGACGTCCAATCCGTTCTTGACCATGGACACAACGGCGGCCTTTTGCGCGGGGCTGACACGGCAACACAAGACGGATCGGCACTGCTTGCAGAGAAGGAGGAACTTCTGCCTCAGACGATCGTCCAAGGCCCATAGGAGGGAGAAACCGTCAATGACCAGTCCGTGCGTGGGCGCGGGCGGCTCGTGGCTCTTCTTGGCAGCAGCAAGGTCGTCGTCGTTGCCAGTCAAGCCAAACGTCTTCAGGCCCTCATCCAGCAGCTTCTCAACAAGAGAAACGAACTCGTCCTCGGCGCCATTGCCTTCAGCGGCATCCTCATCCACCTTGACATGGATCAGCTCCATGTCATTGTTGAGCAGGTTGCAGGAGAAACCAATGTTGATAGCAGTCTCGACCTTGTCACCGGTAAGAACCCAGAGCTTGATACCAGCCTCGCCCAGCAGCTGGATGGTATCGGGCACACCATCTTGGAGACGGTCTTCAATGGCGGTACCTCCGAGAAGCATGAGATCCTGTTCGATGAGCTCGGCAGCAGCTTCAAGCTTCTCCTCACGGTTCTCGAGAGCAGCGGCAGCGGCGTCGTGTTCCTTCTTCCATTGGCGGTATTCCTGTTCGGTGAGTTCCTTTTGGGCGATGCAAAGGGTACGCAGACCCTCGCGGGCAAACATTTCCAGGTGTTCGGCGGTAATACGTCGCAGCTCCTTTTGCTCGCCCCTCTTGAGGCGAGCGTAGATGACGGAATCGGCGCCCTTGCAGAAGAGCATGATTCGCCCGTCGGGCATCCGGACAATGGTGCTCATTCGCTTTCTGGTAGAGTTGAACTCGATGGTGTTGAGGAGCGGGTAGTGGCGCTCCTCGCCCATGACGTTGACATTGATTCCATCCGAAGAGTTACCCAGCACCGTAAAGCCCATGTCGCGAGCGGTAGCGACCAAAGCTTCTTCATCGGGAGACTGCGCCTTGAACGTCATCCTGGGCGGGTCGCCGGGCGTGCGTTCAGCCATGACCGTGTGGCAAAGAGCCAAAGCCAGCATAAAGTTCTCGTTGGCCTGTTGCTGCTCGGTTCCGTGGTGGCCAGCCAGATCCGCAACAAAGTCGGGAGCGATAAAGGTCATGGCATCGTCGTGGAGATAGGGGTTGTCGTGGATCTTGCGGAGGCCCTGCAGCGCTTGCACCTTAGCTTCGGCGATTTCTGCGAGGATCCTCTCAGACTCCTTCTCGATATCGACACCGAGACGCTTCTGCATGCCAGCCTGGGCTTCGGTCCAGGCCTCGCCATAGGGTTGTCCGTTGATGGTGGCCTTCTTGAACTCCATGACGTTTTGGGTCAGTGTTCCGGTCTTGTCCGAGAAAATGTACTCAATCTGGCCAACGTCGTCAGAGATGTTCCAGGACTTGGGAATGCAAGGCTGGTCGATCGGTTCGTAGTACATCTCGACATCGTTGTAGATGAAGATGGCCTGCAGCGTTCGCACGATTTCGAGCGTAATGTAGAGCGAGATGGGGATCAAGTTCTGGAAGACAATGATGGCGGCCCAAAAGGTGACGAATCCAGTGACGCCGGAGCTTCCGCCTATGGAACCGAAATCGAAGAAATGCTGGGAAGCGTCATCCTTGGCCCAGGACACGCCGTTGACGATGGCCGCAAGCAAGCACATGATGGAGAGGATGATGAAGTTGCAGATGACGGTCCAGTTCATTTCGCGGGCAATGCGGGCACGCTTGCTGGGGGTGACGCCAGCGTTCATCATGATCTTGGTGTCGTGCCCAGTGAAGACGACGACGCCCAAGATCCATTCGGTGTTTCGGAGGTTGCAGCCTCGCAGCAGCAGGTTGTCAATGGTGATTGGCTCGGTCATCTCTTCGGGCTCTTCGTCCGCATAGCCGGGAACCTTCTGTCGCCACTTGATGGCACCGTTGTACTTGTACAGGTTGGCTTGCGGAGCCTCGCTCTCGATGCGGAACTGGGCACGCTCACAGTCACGAGCATGCCTGATGCCGCGCCCACAGCGAAGAGCCTGTCGTACCTTGAGATTTGTCTCGCCGTCCAGGTTTTTCGTTTCGACATAGCAGGCACCGTCGGGGTCCGAAGTGGAGAGGATAATGACATCGGCAGGAATCTCGTCGTCCTTGTAGATACGCACGAAATCACCAACCACGAGATTCTTCCACGTGTCCCTTGCGAAGCGGGCGCCCTGGGTCTGGCATTCGTAATTGATCAGGTCCGACTTCATGCTGGATATAGCCTCAGCTCGCTTCGCGTCACCCTGAGTGGGGAGCTCAAAGGTGATGACGTTGGGGTTGGGCGAAGCGACAGGCGTCATCTGGATCTCGTCGGCGTCGGTGGTGGACACGTAGGAATCGCGGCGTTCAAAGGGAGAGGCCATGGAGTCGCGCATCGTTCGCCTGGTCCGCACGGTTTCAATCGAGGCTCGGGGTTCATCTTCGACAATGGGCATTTTTCGCCTCTGGCGTTCGGCACGAGCTTTCTTTGACCACGTGCTCTGGATGGCGCGCCATATGCGGCCGAAAAAGGCGGAATTGGCCTTCTTGAACTTCCTCCAGGCCGAGACATTGTCCTCTTCGACGTTGACGTTGTTCCAGCCGTGAAGTCGGTGGACCGGTGCGTTGTTCAGCTCGTTATCGAGAACGGTTCTTCGGTAGTCTTCAATGGCATCCTTGACGGCCGTGAGGGCGACGATGACAATAAGGGGGACGGCGTTGAGTCCCGGATTAACGGTACCGAAAATGGAAAAGAACTACAGGAGAAGAGATTGAAAGGTCAGCAAAAGGGGGGGGATGGGAAGCGAAGGGGAAGGGTTGAAAGAGGTACGTACGCCCAGAATGATGAGGAATAAGAAGAAGATGTTGGCAATGTTGTGGAATTGGAACCACAGGTTCTTTGGCACGAACGAGAGGGGAGTGTACTTGGCGGTACGAATCTTGTTTCGGGGGTACTCGTTGATGGGGTGGCCATCCTCGAGCATCTCGTCGGGCAGCGGCAGGTTGAAGTAGAGGTTGCGGTTCTCCTGTTCATCCTCGGAGCCGTCATCGGAGCCAGCAGCATCACCAGCATCGTGCTGCTTAGGGTTCTCGCCGTCCTGCTGCTGCCCATCGTCACCACCAGCCGCGCTGCGGCGCTTCTCACTCGCGCCCGACAGCGTGCGATTGTGCATGCGGTTCAGCAGCGACGAGCGTTTGTTGGCGCTGCTCTTGACCGTCATCTTGCGAGTCGCCCATCTCGCCCTCTGGGTGTGCGATAGCTTCGACCTGGGCGGACTGCTGCTCCCTTCGGGCGGCGGCGGTGGTGGTGGCGGAACAGTGTTCGTCATGTTGGCTGTGATGTCGCGGGCAAGCGCCCGTTCAGCCGGAAATGGCCAGCCAGGTCGGGGTAGAGTTCGGCGTCGAAACGAGTGGCGCGATCAGCGTTGGTTGAACAAAGGATGTCGTCTCGAAAGGGTCGCGACGTGGAAGGCTCGACGAAGGGATCCTCGCGCGGGACAGAGACGCAGACGCAGACGCAGACACAGACACAGGAACACAGACGCGGCCCAGGGTCGAGGGCACGTTTCGAGGCGAATAGCGAGCGAGCGGCAGAGTCGGCAGACGGCAGAGGGAGGGACCCTTCAGGGTGCAATGACTGAGGCGCACCGGGGGGGTTCGACAGAGACGTCGAGATGCACGTGTCGTCACAACCGACGATGAGTCTAGATGGGGAGGAGGAGAGGCGGAAAGGAAGGGCGTGAAAGAGAGAAAGGGCGAAAGGGTAAGGTAAAGAAGGATTCCGATCTACTGCTGGCCGGGGCCTGTGGCGTGGGCTGGCCAGGCTTACGGGATCTGGATGGGAGAGGATTGGAAAAAAATGAGAGCCGAAAAAAGAGGCAGCGCTTTAGCGGAGGTTACGGTGCTGTGGCAGGCGAACTGTTTTAGTTCCCGGACCATCCGACCGACCGAGTCCGCGGCACTCACACGAGGCGATTTGATTTCTCCACCACAGGAGCATATAATAACAGGTAAGTGTCCTTTGTTACAAGAGGGATAAAGAGCCTGGCCAGAGAAGAGATTTTGGATGGCAAGGGGAGAGAAGGAGAGTCTGAAGGGTGTGCATTCGGGGGGGAGGCAGGCGGCGCTTGTCCAGAGCACAGCAGATGTACCAGACGTTACAGATCAATGCGCCTCAGAGTCTGAGTACGAGGTGCGTGTACAGTACAGTGTCTGGCAGAGTTGCGATGGATGGAGCCTCGAGATGAAATTGGTCAGCATGCGACTTGCAGCCCCCGCCAGTCCGCACCGTCCCCCCAGGTACCCTCTAGCGGCCGGTACCTGCGGGCAGCACGAGCGTCCAGCGCCCCTCGTACTCCGTCCTTGTACCGCTGCCATCAACCTGAAATCGCCGCTACGAACCAAAGGCACCATCGTGGGAATGGGCGCCAATCCATGCCGCTGGGCCCCGAAAATCCGCCTGCGATGCCTGCCAAATCGGTGCATCGTTCGGCCTTGTATGCAGCGACTGTCGTCATCGCGGGTTGCCCTGCTGAGGTGTGCCGCGACTCTGTTCCGTACAGCCTGAAAGACACAAGCACTACCTTACTCCGTAGGCCCTCCCGCAACATGCAGCATGTCCGGCGTCCCGTGGCCTTTTTGCTGTGGGCTTCTCGGACTTGCCATCGGGCGCCCTATGTACTGGCCTCGCTCTCCGGGCCTGCCAGCGACAAAAACAAGACGCGAGCGCCATTTCAGAGCGATTCGACGGAGCACGGAGGATCCTGGGACGGCGATCCAGCCGCTAGATCGCCTTGACAATCCTGTATTATTACCGCTCCCCGGAATAAGGCCAGCAGCCAGCGGGCGAGTCAGTGAGGACATTCCGCCCGACAAGCCCAGGTATCGCCTCCAGCGAGGTACATCCAGCACCGTATCTGTACGGCCGCAGTGACGCATCCCAAGCCCCTGCTGTCTGTCGCTCGACCTGCCTGAAGCACCGGCCAGAGTGCCAACGGGCTGGAGATGCGATCCTACGCTGAGGTACAGGTACCTGCCACCTGCCACCTGCCGCTACGAGGACCACGGCCAGCCACGGGCAGGGATGTCATCGGCACCACCACGTTCCTGCTGGTACCGCTGGATACAGTCCATCTTACAGTCTGATCTGTCAGAGGCTGAAAGAAGTCAGCCCTTTGTTCATTGTTTCCGCCCAGCACCAGCCTCCGCGGAATACAGTATGTCTTGGATTTGCGAATCATCGAAAAACTCTTCCCAGACTGTGCGACTTGGTATTGCCAGCGCCTCCTGATCGACTACTACCAAGTATACTTGCCTACGGAATCGACGACCACAGCGCCAACTAATACCTCGAGGCGTTCCGCACAGCCTAATTCCTAATTAAAAGCCCGAGCGGAGGGGGAGGCAGTGTCTGCACCGCACCGGACTTCTGAAGCACCGGATTCGACGCGGGTAAAATCAAGGCTAGAGAGAAAAGGCCGTAAATACGATACGAGGCTCCGTCATCGTCATCGAGGGCGTTCGCTGGCGGTTGCTGCTACGTGCTTACAAAAGGCGCCGCCCATGTGTCAGCCTTTGGACGGTGTATGTCAGCCCGCCAATTGGTGTGTCGTATGTAAGTCTGATTGATTCCTGATTCATTTGCTCCAAGGCTTTGTATTTCTCTTGGTTTCGATTCGCTCTCTTGACCCGTCTGTCAGTGCCGAGAGGCGTGCAGGCAGAGTTCGCGGCAGAGGCTGGCGCTGCTCGCTCTGACACAGCCGCGGCATCACGACAGCCACGACCACCAGCTGCCAAGCCCGCCCGACTCTCCGTGCCGTCGGTACGAACATGAACGGGCTGCCTGCACAGGTGAAATGCAGCATCGTCGCGAATAGGGGCGCACGTCCTCTGCTGAGACAGTGGATTCCTCCCAGGGGACGGCGGGTGGGGGTGGTGCTGTGTGGTTCACATTGAAATTACATGCTTGGGCGCTGTCGCTCCCCATGTCCAACACGATGCCACGACAAACTACTCGTACAGACTACAGACTACGGACCACGGAGGATTACAGGGAGCGACGATGGCTGGTGTGCGCTCGTCGGAACGAGACGTGTTCATTGGCCACCCTTACTTGGACCGTTGCCTTTGTCGCGTGCATTCTTGCCCTTCTGGCGGAATATGGAGAGACGACGTGCTCGACGTTTGGGCGTCTCTGCTGAGTTCGTGTTGGACAATGCAATGCAATGCAATGCTGCAGATACAAGCAAGGTCCGGGCACGTGGGCTCGCGCTTGTTTGCGTTTGATGTTTGACGATCCAAATGTCCAGGCTCACGCCTCGCAAGCTACTAATGCGCCGTCGATGCTACACGTACGGAGTACGGCGTACCAAGTAGGTAATACGGACAGCCAACCGCTTCGTGCCAATGCTGACTTGGTTCTCCGCCAAGCGCCTATCATTGTGCTCCATCGAGGGGAAATTGTCCAGGCACCAGTTCAGCCCTGCTGCTGCTCAATCGCCCATCAATGGGGTGTTTGTCCAGGATGCGTGCTGGCCATGTTCGCCAACGATGGCCTTTGGCAAAGTCGCACTTGTCCTCTTCCACAGAGTGCCGCCGAGGAGGGAGCCATTACGAAGTAGTATGAGGGAACACTTGCTTTGGATGGTAAACGTCTGATATTGTGAAAGGACCCCTATTCGAGCAGCATCCGCTCTTTATTCAGTGCTTCTCACTTGGGTCCTTGACAGTCCGCATTTCCGGAAAGATCAAATTCGCGCTCGACCAAGCCTTTTCACTCCGCTTTCCTCGAGGCCCTTCTATTCTTTTTCTTTTTTTTACCCTGTTTATTGCTCCCAAGCCTGTTGACTTGTTGCTGATGAACCTGGTCAGTCCGCTTCGTGCCGACCTGATTCGTACGGGAGGGAAATTTGGCGATTGCGCCAAGAGGGTCCCCTTCAAGGGGGGGGTTGGTTCCACGGAAAGGGATTGCCATCGATCAGGGGTCCGGCCAATGCAAGTCAACGTTTGCTTTACATGCGTGGATGCCTTGCGGGATATGGTCCAAACATTCGACAAAGCTAATGTCAGGGCACCAATGCTTGGCTTCGGAGCCAAGACTTGCCCTTACGGCCGTTCTCCGTACTAATCAACACCAACGACGAGCGCTTGCGACCAATGTCGAAGATGTCAATTTCGGAGGTACTACTACCTTAGCATTACTACTATTACCCATTATCAACGTGTGTCTATGACTAATAATCTCACAGACGGGGAAGAACATGCTGCTGCCGTTTCGTATGGCTTCCTCTTACAAGTGCAGCTTCGACATATTACCAGCTTGCACACGTTCATGGCACCTATTAGTACTGACCCTTCAGGTCGATCAAACATTCAGCCATTCACGATACACAAAGAATCGCTCATGGACGGCAATGAACCCCTGTCGGCGACGGACTTTGATCAACTTCCCATTCCCGACTTGCTCTCCTCCACCTATTACTTCGTACAGGTACTATCAGTCGACCCTTCGCGTTCCTCAAAGCGGCCGGCTGCCGGAAAGCCATCCTATCCTGACCTTTCACGCCAGAGCGCATAGCCGAAATAAGGCTCGGCCCAAGTCCCAGGGATTGGCACGAGGTGCTGGGCGCAGATCTAGCCGCTGCCTCCGTCCTTTTTTCTCCTCTTTGGATGCGAAAGGGGAACCGCGTGCCCTCTTGTACCTTGTTCTGCTCGACTTGCTTTCTAATTTTAAACATTGTCGGCCATCGAACTCCTTTACCGAGCCTAAACGAGCAAAAGCTTGTTTGGAGCTGCTCGCGGTAGTAATACTACCTTGTATTCTTGGTATACCTTACATACAATACGCTCGGTCGTTCGTAGGCGGCCTGGAAGTACAGCCGCTTGGCATTGCGGCGCAGACAACGTCTTGAAATGAGCCTCCACCGGGAGATCAGATCTCGCAGTATTCCGTACTCCGTAACCCGTCCAGAGTCCGGAGTCCCTGTATGTATTACTTGCCACATTGTAGCACCATGCTGTGCGTATGTATGCATCCTCTTCTTTGACGCACGAGAGACGGGAATCAGTCTCCCGTACCTAGGCGACAAACTGCCTTGATGATGTCGACCAACGAGCTTAGCTGAGGCTGGATGAATCCCAGAATTTACCAGACACCCAGCCTCCCCAGCTTCCGTTGTCTCATGTGTAAGACAAAAAAAAAGGACATAAGACATTCCATCTTCTCTTAGCGTTCTTCTCAAGAGACGTGACAATACACGGACGCGAGGGTAACATCGCGCGTCCGTCACTTTAACGACATTCAATTCCCTTCCGCCCTTTCAGCATCCAATGCCCAGACAAAAAGTACATGTTGCGGTTGGGAGGAGGCACATGGCAGCCCTACAACATGAAGCTACGTCTCAGGTTGAGCCCATGGGCTGAGATCCTCCGGGGAAGGAGAAGAAAGAAAAGGAAGGTTACTAGCATTTTCACTCAGACTCTCGCCCAAAAGAGAGGGATCCTTGGAACGGAAGAGGTGTTCCGACCGTACGTTTGGAGGTTTGACGTAACGTCTGGTGTCCTGTTGAAGCCGAAACTTGGTTCGCGGGCGGAAGTGGGAGTTGCCGTTGTGCTACCTTACCCGGTAAGAGGTTCGTTGTTTGAGGATGGAGGGGATGGGGATCTTGGGCTAAGTGCTATTTTATTTAGATGAGAGCTTTTTAAGGTGTAGATAGGGTTGGGACACAGCGGTAGAGCTTGAAGGCCTGGTGCTTCGTCGTTCTTGTTCATGGGATGCTATCCTGATGGCATGACAGGGTAACGTTCGGTGAAGTTCCACTGTAAGCATGCGCTGTAATGATCAGGCAACAAAGGCATAGCAGAGAAGATGGTGAATAAAGGCTATATATGCCACCAAGAATCCGATAACCAATGTAATCACCCTATAAGCCTTCTCGTGACGTTCCTCAGCAATGCTGTTCGTGTTGTGATGGTGTTTCCATAACGAATGAGGCTCTCACGCCCGCCAAAATAAGACGGGACCCTGCACCGATCTGCTACGGCCTGCGCCACATCTGCCGATCAGGTTCATTCTGTCAGCCCCCGGATTGCTGCGCCATACACCATCCACACATGCGACCAGAACATCACATCAAGTTGTATCTAATCTGATCTATCGAGGCATCTCACTCCAGCGGTTCATCTCAACATTAATCCCAATAGAAAACAAGTTACAAGGAGGAAGAATACCCGACACGCAGGTCGCGGCATCTGCCATGTCTGGAAGCCAGAACCCAACCCCAAAGAAGCCCAACAAGAGCATCCTGTCGTACTTCCAGCCCGCCGCCTCCTCCCAGCAGCAGCAGCAGACGCCATCTCCACAGCGCTCATCACGTCCATCATCGTTCCAGGACTGGTCGCCGCCCGCGCCGTCCTCGCCGCTCAGCTACAAGGCCACCCCTGTCCGGAACAAGAAGCCCGCGCCCCAGGAGATTCGCGCCTCCGACGACGAGGGCAGCGATGATGGCTTCTCGGACGACTCTCTGGAGGACCTGTCGGCTCTCATTGGGCGGGGACGGCCCGGTGCTGCTGCCGCACCGCCGGCGGCGGGAAACCAGCCCTCGTTTTCGACTCCCCGGGCCAAGAGGACGGCCACGGGGCCGTATGTGTCGCCGCTGACCATCATACCCAAGCACAGGTTTGACATCAAAGCCCTGGCCAAGGACGCCCGCCGTGATAACGCCATAAACGCAAGCTCGCTGAAGGCAAAGGCCTCCACAGGCGTCTCGGAACCCGCGTCTCCTCGTCGAGGAGACAACTTCGATTCTGCCTTTACTGACATCGTCAAGGAGAAGAGCGGGCAAGATGCGCACAAAGTTCTGAGAGCGGTCCAAAGGGCGGAACCGATTCAGTCCCAGGCTCGGTACTGCTTTTTCAACAGTGACTACAGGGTTCCGCCCAGCTCGCCCGTCCCCAAACTGCCCAAGGGCTCGCCGTGGAATCTGTTGACGCAAGGAAACTCCGCAGCGAGGGAACGGAACCTCACCTCTGGGGTGCCTCAGACTATCCTAGCGAAGAATGGTGGGCTGCCGGATGCCCTGTTTGAGTGGATACTGGACGAGCTGTGCATTCAGAAGTCCTCGCTTGTTCGGCGCGAATACTGCAACATCATTCACAGCTGCCCTGATCAGGTCGAACGGCTTTTGACTCCGGAGCGGCTGGAGGAGCTTTTCCTTAGGCTGGGGGCCACGGACGACATCAAGGTTCGGGAGTCTGAGATTGCCGTTTCGAAGCCAAGCCAAGAGCCATATCAGGACCACGACTGGTCAAATCTGGAGTCTGTCTTCCTGCTCTTGGGGATGATTTCGGACCATTTGTCGGTTGCGTCTGCCACCTACGCAGCGCATACTCTGCTCCGTGTGTCCATGGACAAGCTGTTGATATACAACACTGATCTATTGACGGCGTATGAAGAGACGATTGAAAGCCTGGTCAATGCCATCCCCAGTTCGTCCTGGGACTCTTTTGTGAGTATATAATGCTTGCATACGTTTTTCCTTCGGAAAACTAACCTGTTCAGTGCGGCGACGCATGCTCAATCCTACACGCAACCGTCAAGACGCAACACATCAGGGCGAATGCGTTACAGTGTCTATCCATCCGCGACGTCAGAACCCACGACATCAGGAGGAGGCTCGCCCTCTCCTTCTTATTCGACGACCCCTCTCTCGGCCGCCACCACCCCGAGGCCGTCTTCAGCGTCAGAGGCGCCATCGACCGCCTCGGCGAAGAGGACTTTAGCATCACGTCCCAAACGGACTTTGCCGAGCTCAAGGCCATGGTCATCACCCTCGACATCGCCGTCGACGACGGCTCCCCGCCGGAATCAGGCGACCCCGAGGATGAAGCCAGGTTCAACCAGGAGGTTGACGAGCTCGCCGCCAGGCTCAGGGAGATTTGGCGCAAGATCAACGACGCGGGCATGAAGATTACGCGCACCGAGGCCAAGAGCGTCGTCGAGTGGGTGCAGCAGCGGCTGTCCAACACGGTGAGGACGCGCAGAAAGGCCAAGAAGAGCATCTTTGATCTTCCCGGCCAGGAGGACCGCTCGAACCTGCCCAAGCAGCAGGAGTACATGGCCAAGTTTTTCCAAAGGATACCCAAGCCGCAGACGGGAAGTGAATGAGTGTTTTTTTCTTCCCTCTGGGGCTCGGATTCTGTCTATTTGTGTGGGAATTTGATACCTGGCGACGATGCACGAATAGGGCGTTCCGGAGGGTAAGGTATATAGTAGGAGGACAAAGAAGCGAAAGTAGGAGCTGGCTTCGCTGGATACCGAGTTCAGAAAGTCTCTTGTAATGACGTATGATACAACATCTAAGCTAAGAACAAAGGGAAACGAAAAAAAAAAGCTCATTCGACGAAATGCATGCCTCAATTGTCCTCTTCTCTTCTCGGCCTCCCACCCTGCAACACAACCGATCCCGCTCCCCACCCTCTTCCCTCTCTTTCCTCGTGTCAAGGTCATGAGATACAGCTGCCAACTGATTACGGAGGAAGTTGAGTTTAGTCGTGGAATTTGCGGTTGGGGTTCTTTCCGAACAGGTCTTCTCGCACGGCCGGCGCCGCGGAGTACTCCAGCAGTTGCAGTCGGGCCTCGAGGGTGTTGTCAATGTCAATCTTTCCCTTTCCGCCAATGATGATGATGCCGCCGGCGCTGTGGGATCCGAAAATGTCAGTAGGCCTAAAAGAACAAGTGGCTGCGTGGGAATCCATTGCCTGTTTGCAAGAAAAACGTACATTGAATCGTCCAAGGGATTAGCCTCGTCAATCGTCGCAGTCGTGTCCTTGCCAACCTCCTTCTTGTACTCCTTGGCCGCCTCCTCGATAGCCTTCTTGACGGCGTCGTAATCAGCCTTCTTGGCGCGGACCTGCAGCTCGGGCTCGTTCATAGCGATGAAGCCCTCGAGCACGAGCCCGTTGAGCGTCTTCTGGTACCGGGCGGCGTCCTTGACGACGGCGGCGAGCTGCTGCCGGGCCTCCTCAAAGATGCCGTCGAGCAGCTCCTGCCGGGCGCCGAGCACCTTGAGCCGTGTCTTGTTGGCGACGGTCGACCGGGTGATTTGCTGCGACATGGTGGCCTGCTTGAACTTCTTCTCGTACTGCGTGTCGATGGCGTCCGTCTCCTGGCGGACGAGCTTGGACTTTTCGATTTCGAACTCCTCGTTGGCCTTGATCTCGATCTCGCGGGCCTTTTCCATGGCTTCCTGCTTGATGAAGGCGGTCATCTTGCGGAGCTCATTGTCCACCTGCTCGGTTTCCAAGGCCTGAGGTTAGCCATGTTTGCCCCATGCATGCATCCCGTCCTTTTCTTTCGGCCACAGCTACGGCGGGCGTTGGGGAAGAGGAACTCGCCTGGGCATCGGATAAGGCGTGTTGCGACATCTTGGGCAGGCGGGGGGGTTTGATGGAGAGCACGGGGTGGGAAATGGCAGTATAATTGGGATGGATTTCGGGTCGAGGCCTCGGAGAGATTGGATGGCCTGTGCCTGCAGCGGCTTGTCGAGGAGGCGATGAGGCGAGACGGCGTGTGTGTGCTGAAGCTCTTTTTTGGAGTGCGGTTGGCAGATGAGAAGCGTTCGAGTGTGTAATATCTCGGAGCTGTCGACGTTGGAGCACTGAGTTGCGCTACCACCCTGGCAGCTGGCGAGTGCTATTGGTGCTTGTGCCTCGCACCTACTTCTGGGGCCGCGATTGCGCACCGCCACAGCTTGTGAGGTACAAGTGCAGGACACATTCAATCACGGCGCAATGTCAATGATCGTGGAGATGTTTGATTTTGACTGGAATCACTTTGATGGACCAGTTTTGGAATAACGGCACCGAAGAGATTCACTTGATTTCATGTGCTTTGATATTACTATTCTTGTTGCTTTCCCTGTCTAGCATCGGAAATGAGGTACTCTGCATTTTCAGGCACTGCCCGCGATGACGCGTGTCACCTGACCTCATGTGACGCATCACCAGCCACAGTTCCTCGCTGCCAGCAGCTCCCAGGGCGACAGGCCAGCAGTGGCCAGTGAGTGGCAGTGGCAGTAGCAGCAATACGACTACTACAGTACTACCTAGCAATATGCACCTCTGATGCACCTCAGGCGCGCGATGCTCCATTCGCATACCGCTTGACGTCGTCAGGTGGCTCTGCATGTTTTATTGAGCGCCAACGCATTTCCTCTCTGCACGGCCCGCTGCCTCGTCGGGCCCCGGCTGATCAGGTCTCACCATCCACGCGAATTACCAGCGCCGTCTGCGACCATAGCCGTGATTTGGGGGGCCGGCACCTTCAACCGACTCGACGGCGTTCCCTCAACCTCGCCCATCGCCCAGCTCTCACAGGGTCCTCGCCAGAGCGCGCTCGACTTGAACCGGGACTGTACGGAGCGGAAGCGGCGGCGGCACGGCATCGGCGGCTGAGACTACCCACGATATCAATACGCTCGCTCTCTCTTGACGATCGCGGCCAGGGAGGGAAATCAGGGTGAAACAGCTTCGCGGCCGTCGACAACAGCTTTCTTCCAACGTCTTCGCAACCCCATCTACAACGCTGCCCGACGACCAGCACCCGTTTTCCATGCGACGACCAAGTGCGCTCTTGTTCACGTCTACCGGTGGATGACCACAGGACCTAGAGACGGTGTGATGCCGCCTATTGGGAATATCTCCCCCGGAGGGAGCATAGCTGTATGCGCACGCCATCATCACAGAGCCTGAGAAGGATAGAAGGAGAGATAGAGAGAGAGTGTCTGTGGGCTGGTGCGCCTGGCTAACATCTGGCAGCTAGGAATCCTCGTTGGCCTGATCTCGACCAGCGTTCAAAGCCTCGGCCTCACCTTACAGCGGAAATCACACATACTCGAAGACGAAAAGGGGCCGCACGATGTTCGCCGGCCGCCGTATCGGAGGAGGAGATGGCAGGTGGGCATGGCCATGTTTGTCATCGCGAATATCCTAGGCAGCACCGTGCAGATATCGACGCTGCCCCTGCCCGTCCTCTCGACCCTCCAGGCTGCCGGCCTGGTGTTCAACTCAATATGCGCGACGCTCATCCTCAGCGAGCCCTTCACCCGCTGGTCGCTTTGCGGCACGCTCCTCGTCAGCAGCGGAGCCGTCTTGATCGCCTTCTTCGGCGCCATCCCGTCCCCGGCCCACGAGCTGGACGAGCTGCTGGAGCTGCTGGCGCGGAAGCCCTTTATCGTCTGGATGATCATACAGGCCCTGTTTGTCGTGACGTTGGCGGTCGTCACAGACGTCGTCAGCAGCGTCTCCAGCCTGTCGCACAATGCCAGGTTCCGCCTGGTCCGTGGCATCAGCTACGGTGTCATCAGCGGAGACCTCTCTGCGCACTCGTTGCTGTTTGCCAAGTCCGCCGTCGAGCTTCTCATCAAGACGATTGGCGGCAAGAACCAGTTTCTCCGCTGGCAATCCTGGACCATTGTCCTGGCCCTCGTTTCCCTGGCGCTCTGCCAGCTGTACTACCTCCACCGCGGCTTGAAGCTTGTTTCCACGTCCGTCCTATACCCGCTTGTTTTCTGCGTATACAACATCATTGCCATCCTGGATGGCCTAATTTACTTCAACCAGATGGGCCTCATCTCGACGCTCGACGCCTGTCTCATCACCTTGGGAACCGTCATTCTTCTGTCGGGCGTCCTCGCACTTTCGTGGCGGCTGAGCGACGAGCAGCATGCGCCGGCAGTTGGTCAGTCCTCGCTGGCTCCTGGCCTTGGGCTCGTTGACGATACTGAAGGCGAAGAAGAATCACTAATAGGACCAGAAGCCGCGCTCGAGGTCGACGAAGAGCTGCCTTCCACGACGTATCAGACTTTCCCCGTGATGCACGGCGAAACCACGCCGCTAACCCCGACACGCAAAAAGAGCCTGAGCTGGGTAGAGCGAGACGAGATCTGGGGAGAACTGCAAGACCAAGATGAGCCTACCACGCCGGCGGGGCGGCTACGCTCGACTACATTCCCCGCGAGGACCGAGTCGTCGCCGCTGCTGCCCCAGGTGAGGAGGTTGATGAGCGGCGCCAGCGTCACAGGCCAGCCGGGCCCGAGCGCGGATGCTTCGCCTCGAAGATTTGCCCGACGGCGGAGAAAGAGCACTGGCTTTCCGGGGTTGGTGGCGCGCCGAAACCTGCGCAGGGACTCTGCGTTTTCAGAAACGCTTGGCGGGTTCTTCTCGATGAACTGGCTGAGGCGCAACAATAGCCGCGTGTCCGTGAGCAGCAGCCTGTTGAATGAAGGCAACCCACCGCAGCACAACTATAGAGATGAGCCGGAAGGGGGTTCCAATGGCAGGGCCAACGACTCCGATGGATGAGCTCAAGTCGTCGGGGGACAAATCATGAGAAGTTGCTTCAACAAGTTTATGCAAATCTTGATCTTGAAACCTTGAGAGAGCATGTTTAAAACTAGACCATTTAATTACAAGGTGTTTTTTTTCTTTTTCTTTCCGCTGGAGGCAAGCATTATGCTGGGCGGATGAGCAAGAGGGAAGCTTCTGGGTTGACATTTCATTTTTTCTTTTTTCATTGTCTTTTTCTGGAGATTGAGGCACAAAGACGGACATGCTTGTTCCCCCCCCTATCCCCCCCCCATTTGTGTTTCTTTTTCATTTTCTTTTCTTTTCTTTCCCTTTTCGGTTTGTTGCATTATACCACGATGGCAAATCTGTTTGTACCATGACGCGGGTTTGCACTGCACTAGATGCTTGCAAGCGAAACTTGTAGGAGACACATCTTTGGAGTTTTTATCATTCTATGCTGCGTTTTTTTATCCTTTCCCTCCCGTCCCCCCCCCTTTCTTCGTTTCAGTGAGCTTTTGAGTAAAACTCACAGCATGTATTTCTACCTACGTACTACCATTGAGGGATTCCAAAAAGAGCAAATTTCCTATGTTCGAATGTTCGAGTTCAACTTGCGTAGGTTTCAAGGTTTCGTTTCACTGTGACTTGGAGCGAAAGGAAGAGAGAGACAGAGAGAAGTTGATTAAATCGTATTAAAGGAGTTATTTTCCAGGCAAAAGCAAAATTGTGTGTGTGTGACGCTATGGAACTCGGCAGACATTTCAAACATGGTATTTCAGCCTTTGCTCGTATAGATATAGTTAAAAAAGGGGGTTCGCCTTTCGACTTTCCAACTCTGGCAATATCTTTCAAACCAGAATCCCGCTTCTCTCTTTTTTTTTCTTTTGCTGTGTCCTGTTCCTATTCTCATTCACTCATGCTTAGGGGTCTCACAGACGGCCGTAGTCTCGCTTCTGATCGATGATGTAGTAGCGCTCAATCTCCTTGCGCTCCTTGACGAGGCAGGCAATGGCGAGGATGAGCAGGGCATCGATGCCTTTGCAATCACAGAAGATACCAGGTTAGTCTTCATGAAGTTTGTGTAGGCGGTTCAAAGGGACAAGTGACATACCGACCATGCCAAAGACGGCTGTAAAGAGGTCGTTGATAAAGGCGTTTGCGAAGCTGGCCATGTTGGTGGAGCAGCCGCGCAGGAGGGCGGCGGCGGCCGGGCTGGGACATGTTGAGTCTGTGATGAAGGCGGGTGAGGTGCTGTTTAGGTAGCCGCAGCAGTTGAACTGAAGGTCTCTCGTCAGTGATGGGAGCTCTGTTATATGTAGTTCAAACCGTGCTGGGATTTTTGAAGTCCAAGTATATGATGGAAACCCTGCATTCAGCTGCTTCGCAGCCTCGCTTGCGAAAAGGGGGGACGTACCGAAGTCTGCATCAACGACTGAATACTCGCATCCTGCGCCTCGTAGAAAGGCTCAAACGTCTCCTTGAGGCGCAGCGTCATGATCCAGAGGTACAAGCCGACGGCGAGGGTGAAGACGGCGCAGACGGTGATGAGGTAGCCGCTGATCTTGAGCAGGCTGCGCTTGGTGAGGGCGAGGGCGGGGATGGTGAAGAGGAAGACGGCGAGGACGAGGATGGCGTTTGCGATGCCGGCGGTGAGCGGAAAGTGCTGGTAGATGATGTGGCGGGTCGCGTCCTGGCCGTCGGTGGGCGCCTTGTCCTTGAGGTTCATGGCGGCGATGGAGAAGCCGAGCTCCATTGCGCCGGAGGCGAGGAAGAGGGCGTCGGCCAGGACGGTGGCGAGGAAGACCTTGTCGGGCATGGCGAATGAATGGATGAGCGAGTTGGGGTTACTGAGTGAAAGTTGCCTTGAGGGATATCGGTAGTTCAGTTCGGAGGTTGGTGATGGTTGGTGATGGTGTTGACGACCGGCGTCTAGTTGGAACTCCTTTTCCTGGCTGAACTGAGAGACCGAAAACCCAACCAAGACCCAAGCTCGGCGAAACGAATGCGAAAGAAGGCGAAAAGAATTAAAGAGAGGTTATCCCAAAGTCGAATGTCCTGCAATTCCACACAACCAGCGAACGTCTGTAAATAACCCCTTTACGAAGAAAAATAGACAATGGAGAAAAGAAGGTGGCTTCACGTACATGCACCAGGCATGGAGAAGAAAGCGAAGAAAGAGGAAAGAGAAAGGAAAAGAGCCCCCCAATAGACCGAGAAACAGATGAAGAAAAGAGAAGAGAAAAGAGAAATAGAAGAAATGAAAAGAAAAAAAAAACTTGCGACGTTTGCCAAGCGCCTGTGACTTCCCAATCGTCGTCCGGCCTTGCCTCGTAACAGGCGGCGTTTCAGGAAGCCAAAGGTGAGGCACGGGCAAGGGGCGGGCGATGCGGACGGCCAATCAGAGCGCCGGATCGGGGCCCTGGGTCGCCTGATTGGGGAGGTTTGGGAGCGGGATTGGAAACGAAGGCGTGTGAAGAGTGTTTGTATGGGCCGATGCCGTCGTCATTGCCTTTATCTGATAAGAGATCTGGATCATTCAAGATGGGATTCTATATTCTATGTATCTCGTTCAATGTTTGCTTGTTTTCCAGTCTTGTCTGAATTGTCCGTTGAGCTGTCCGTGGGAGCTGTAGAGATTAGTACGCATGAATATCAGGCATTCCGCTTGGTTTCACCACTTTCCCTTTCAGCATCGCTCCCGCCATGACTAAGCATAAACTCGACAGCCTTCTCCTCCACAGCAGTCGAGCACTTGGACATCTCCATCCGCTTCCTCACATCTCAGGCAGCACTTCTTCTCGCCTGAACCACCAGGCAAAACAACCCAGCCTGGTGAGAATTTCCAATTCCCCAGCAGCCCTTCTTCCCCCGCTTAACTCATACCCGCGACACGCAAATCTCTCAGCCGCCGGCTACGCGCCTGTATGCACAAACCGCGGACAGAGGGCCCCATACTCTGCGTGCTAATAACGCTCGTGGGTAGTTGACCAGACCGGGGGGTGATGAACCGCACTGTACGGGATCCGAAGTGAGCTGGGGGGCGGCACAGCCCGAGAGAAGTGCAAACGGCCAGCCAGCCGGCAATTGAGGTGGAAACCTCGCAAGTCAGTCGCCGATCAACTATGCCAACAGACGCGCGGTTCTTACTGTTCCCCCTCTTCGTCCGCTCAAAACGGTTCACGGCAAGTCAGGAAACAACAGCAGACGCAAGCTGGGCGAGAGTTCAAAGCTTCGAGCACAACACAGCATCTCGCTCATCTTCGTCGCGGTGGAGCAACGACGACGGCCTCTCACTGCATCCTTCGGCGCACTGTGGCCCAGCCCAGCTTTGCTTTTGCTTGCTTGCTCTAGCTGCCTAAAGTGGCAATGGCCCCCCCATTTCTGCCGCTGTCCGCTTTGAAGCTGCTGCTTTGACAACCGGCCGTGGATGCTATTCGTGCAAGTCACGGCGATGAAACGGGCAAATGCGGTCTGGCGACGAGCAGCAAATCTCCGTTCTGGATTACGTGTATCCGTCTGGCGTCTGTGTCTGTGGGCGAGCCTATGCCTGTTCCTGTAACCTGTTTCCTGTTCCTGTTACCGGCTCTCCGTCCTGGCGCTCGCGAATCGAGGGCACAGCGCTCATACTGGTCTAGGGGGAGCCAGCCATCATCCGCATCCAGCTCCGCATCCTTCAGCAAGACCGTGCCGATTCTGCTCCAGCCTGCTGCTGTACTGTATGTACTACTCGTACTACTTGTCCTGGCAAATTACTAAGGCGACTCGACAGCAGACAACCTGTGGGCCGCTGCAGCTTGGCCCGTGTCCCCCGTGTCAGCTTTGGGGGGGGGGGGGGGGAACACCTTGCTCGCGCTCCTGTGTGCTGCCATGGTAATATTGGTGGTACGAAGTGATACCTCTCCTGCGTGTGTGTCGAGTGGCATCTCATACTGTTCAGAGGCGGGAGACACACGCAGCTCGCGTAGCCTCGAGGTATCCGACGTGCTAGTACCCCCAAAAGGCGCAGACGAGGGTCCAGGGTCTCGCGTCAGCCCTCACGCGTCGCTTCTGCGTCCAAGAGGTGAAACCCATGGGGCCCCATGACTGGCACGAAGCCTCGTACCTGGACCAAGGACGAACGAGCGGCTCTCTGGCGTCTGGAATGGAGCTGTCCGTGCAGCGCAATTCACTCAGCAGCATCGTGTTTCTCTTCCACAGCCGGGCCCCTCCTAGCAATTTCGCGGACAGCTTGACGATCGGTAGTGTGATATGACAGAAGGCTAGACAAAAGTTCGCTAGAGCAAGCAGCGGTGCCGAGGCTGCGCTGATTGCAGAGACACAATGTCATTCATGCAGCAACGCAGGGGCTTCTGCAGCGTGTCTCTTCAACTCCATGCGGTTTTGTGCTGTTGGTCGCAGGCGATTTGCTCCGGCAGACAGAAGCGTGAAATTGCCATTGAGCGCAGAGCAAGGGGGATAAGCGGCGAGCTGCCGCTGGTCTCACCCGGTCAGGAATCCAACACTGGTGCACCGATTGCGATTATTGACTTGTCGTGCAAATTCCAAGTATCTTGCTGCTTCAGACATAACAAAGCACCGGCAAGTTGGCACGCAACAACTGCTAGAGCTGCCATCCGTGGATACATGCCCCCTGTGGTGCGACTCCGCCGCCTGCTTACAGGAACTAATGCTCTGATGGCCTCGCACCAGAGAGGATTCCGGCTTCCCCTGCTGCAGGAGGGTGGTCGGCAGATGCAGCAAGACACATCGGAGTGGAGGCTGCAGTCCTGGTCCGACGCGCTGACGACCAAAGATACAGTAGGTACTTGGGGGACAAAGACTGGGAGCAGGGGATCAAAAGTCATCCAGCAGCAGTAACATGGAGGATGACGGTCGAAGCGAGTCCAGCCTCTGGCGCCCCCTGAAGACGTGCCTTTTGGCGTGGGCTGAAGCGGAAGCAGGCGGGCCAACGGCGGCTTGATCCAGCCATCCACAGCCCGTGTGGTCAAGTGACGGGAGTGATTGGAAGCAGAGAGTTGACGCGAGACGAAGACAGAAGTGGGAAAAGGATGGAAGAATCGAAAGAACCACTGAATCAGCGTCGAGTGCTACATACGACAAAGTACTACAGCACTTGTACGGAGCAATTGGTGCGCGATGCTTCGTGCAAACCCTGGGAGCCGGCCGCAGAGACACGAAGAGAAAGGCCGGCGACTCGCTCGCGTACTCTGTGATACGAGGAGGCGGCAAAGTCAATTTCCCAATCCTCTCGCATCAGCTCCCCTGTGTTTGATCTGTCCTGTCAGAGCTAGCCGTTACGGAGAGGCGGCGCGAGCGTCCCGTAGATCTCATCACCTTACCTTACCTTGAGCCCTAACCTTAGTTAAGCACATCCCCATGCCGGCTGTGGGAGAGTCTGTGATCTCACGGCGCTGTCAAGAGAGTTTGACAGCCGAGACGTAAAGCAAGCAGGTAGGTAGTAGAAGCATCTCGACGTCGCTTGCACTTCGTATCCGCGCACACCACACAGAACATCAAGTCTCCATTGTTCGGCGCGCATTAGTAAAGGACGCCTCGAAGCTTCATGGCTACGGAGCAACTTGTACATGTCCTTGATGTCCTTAATCGGCCCATGGGAGCCACGGATCCACTCCCTTTGTCGAGCCTCGAGAACAAGATTTCTGGGAAGGCTGGGAAAGCTGCCAATATTCGCACAGTGCCGCCAGATGACACGTTGTTACTGTGTGGGCCCAGGGTGCTTACTCTGCTTCTGCCGTCCAATCGAGCTGTGGCTGCTCCGCTTTTCCTGTTGCCCGGTGCCAAAATTCCAGCCCCGAGGCTTGTCGCACGGCGGCCACTCACATGCACCGCCGCGCTCGCCTCTGCTCTCTCGATGAATCTTCTTCGGTGGCCGCGCCCATGCCACCCCCATCATTCTCGCAGCCAAACTCGTCGGGCGATAAGCGCAGACGAGAGCGGTGCCAATCGTGTCCGAGACAAGCTGAGAAGTATCTGTGCATGGTCACGTCAGCGGAAAGTACCGGCTCAGCACAATCAGCAAGTCCCTGCCAGCCTGTGTCAATCTCAGCATCCCCCCCTCTTCTGTCCTCTCGGTCTGCAAGCGCCCCGACAGAGCACTAGCGCATCCGGCACGTCTCGTCTACCCCGACTGCTCGCAGCACAAGCAGCCACTGAAAAGTACCTCAAAAGTCTCTCGACAGCGTTCCCCCCCATCCCCAAGCCTCGCTCCGCGCCTTCCCAAGTGCCTCCTCCACCTGTTTCGCACCCGCCGCACCGTCACCGTGCGCACCCGCTCTGCACCCGCCCAAGCACTTGGCCGCTGCATCTTTTCTCCAGTCCCGCTCCCAGCCAAAGACTCGATCCATCCCAACCAGGACCGGTTCCCTTAATTTTTTTCCTTTTCCCGCCCTGTCCCCTCTGCCCGTATAAAAAAAAAACCGCCAGATCCAGTATAGATCCATCGGCACCACGCTCAAAGCAGTATCTCCACCACTCGTTGCCTTTTCCAGCGCCCTTGTGTGATACAAGTCGACGACGATTGGATTCGGATTCGGATTTGGCATTGAGTATTTGATTAAAAAGTTGCTGTCGCAGTTGCAACCGCAAACAGCTCATCATGGCCGACATCACTGACCAGCACGACCAAACGTCGCCCACCGAGCTCGACGACGCGCACAGCGTCAATAATGGCACCGCCAACGAGGGTCGCGGCGTCAAGCGACCACGCGCCGCTGCCGACGACGACGACGACGATGACGAGAAGGGTGGCCGCGAGCGTCGCAAGATTGAGATCAAGTTCATTAGCGATAAGTCTCGTCGCCACATCACCTTCTCCAAGCGGAAGGCGGGTATCATGAAGAAGGTGCGTATTTCCTGCTTTGCTTTGCTTCTGCCAGCCCAGCCCTCGAGAGAGGCACGAGAGGGAGAAGCAGAGAGAGAGAGAGAGAGCTGCAGTTTTCTCGCTCCTCCTCCCCTCGCGCCTCGAAAACACCAGACCGGGAGTGAAGAACTGCCTTCTTTCGCTGCCTGGTTTCCAATCTCCACCAGCTGCGTGAGCTCTGTCGGGGCGCGCGCGGCGGCATGGGCGGCCATGGGGACGAGACACTCTGAGCAACCCTCGCTTTCCCGCATTATCCGAGCCGGGCACCCAGCTAACAGGAGGATTCCTCGGCGTCTAGGCATACGAATTGTCTGTCTTGACAGGCACTCAGGTTCTGCTGCTTGTCGTGTCGGAGACGGGCCTGGTCTATACGTTTACCACGCCCAAGCTCCAGCCGCTCGTCACAAAGGCGGAAGGCAAGAACCTTATTCAGGTAAGCTACTCCTCCACTCCCTCGGCTGCTCTTCGTCTCCTTCTCCCTGCGAGAGGAGGCTTGGACGGCAAGATGGCCGTTCAAGACGGTTTTGTTGGCTGCGCCTGTCTTGCTTCCAAATACTCGATGCTGATTTCTTCTGCTTGATAGGCTTGTCTTAACGCACCTGAGCCTGCGACTGGCAGCGAAAACGGGGTAGACGGCGGTGACCAAGTCGACTCTCCCGAGGAGCCTCCCAGCCATCTCCCGCCGCAAGCCGGCCGTCCAGGCATGCCGCAGAACCCTCACATGGCCCCTGGAGGCTACATGCCTCCCAACATCCCTATGGATCCTCAGCAGGCCTTGGCTTACCAGAGCTACGTGCAGCGCAACCAGGGATACGGTTCCGGTATGCCACCTCAGCCAGGCATGCCCCCCAGCTCGCACCATCAGTCATGAGCGAGCTGTGCCAATCCAAGAAACAAAAAAGAACAACAAAAAAAGCGACTATGGAAAGCAAGCCGAAGTCTGAAATCGTTGGTTAATAACCGAGCCTTCAACAATCTTTTGGGAGTGTTGTTCTCGGGCTTTGCTCCGCTGCCACCACTGTATTGCAGGGGATCTGATGGTTCTGATTTGGCGTTGATGACGCGTTGATATGTTTCATCTCCTTTTACTCTTCTTTATTGTGTTTTTCGATTTTACTTATGGTTGAATTGTTTTTTTCCTTCTCGAATCTTCCATGCTTGAAGTCTTGGAGCTGCAAGAGCCTTGGCGTCTTCCCCTTCCACCGAAAGGGAGAACGCTCTCAGAGCACGGGCAAGACGGCCGAGTTCTGTCGCTGCACTGACGCGACGAAGCGGTCTCGGGGAAGTTCAGAGGCGTGCTTTTCACTTGCGGCGCCGAGCATTTCGAAGCTCGACCACTCTTGTTACGGAAAGATTCAGAAGTTCATCGGTTACAAGCCAAGAATGGACGTTGACGGCGGCCTTTTGTGCGGACATTTTGACCTCTTGTACGCAAGAAGAGTACTCCTATGACCAAGGGTCTCAACCTTTGGGCGTGGTTTGAGCGAGACGTTGTCTCTCATGCTTGGTACGGCAAATCTGAAGATGGGTTGGTACTTTGGGCGGCAGGTTCTGGGAAGGTCTGGATTTTGGGGGTCGGAGGATGGGCACAGGCGGCGGACAGGGACGAAGGCCGTCTGAGAACTGCTGCGCGGATGATAATGGACACATGAGGGCACGATTGTTGATGGCGGGACAAGGGAAGAGGACATCATGTACATCAGATGATTCTTTCTTGCCAATCAACCTTTTTTTTCCTTTACACGTCTCTTGAAATTGCCGGCAACTCTTTTTGGTAGACATTTTTGGTATTCACATGCTTGGGCCATGTCAGTGCGTGCCAAGCGTTTGTGGCATGGCGTCTCTATTACAAGACGGGCATCGTGTGATCTTCAAAGGGATCCCATTGAGGTTAGAACGGCCGCCTCCCTCCCTCGCCCGATCCGCCAACAATGGGACAAACAGAGTTTAGCATGGAGTTTGTCTTTTTCGAGGGGCACCCAACCGAAACGAGAAACCGTAGATCCAAGCCCAGCCCTACCGAGATCTGTTCTGTTTTTAGAATAGGCATTTTCGCCTCGCCTTGTTGTGTGTGGTCCTAGCTGAAGCGGGCCCGGCCGGCCGGCGCGCCGGAACAGCCTTGTTTTTGATGTTTATTCTGCTTTGAGTTTTTTCTTGCCTTGCAACTTTTCTAGGAGAGGAAAAGGGGAGGTGTGTGGGATGGTGGAAGAATGAGGCAAAGCGTGTGTGTGTGTGTGTTCATATCAGGCAAAAGTGTGATGGATTTTTCGAAATACTTTTACCTGTTTGCGATGAATGCCCTCTTTTCCCTCTTTTTGAAGTGCTTCTTTTTCTTTGTAGGAACCCCTATGGTTTTTGTGCCTTCTTTGAGTGTGTGTACGTGTGTGTGTGTGCGATTTTTTTGGTGGCTACCTTACTAGACGCTTTGGGGATGGGGGGGAGGGGAGGAAGAAGGATTTCCTGTTTTGGGGGAGGGCAGGAGTTTGATTGGGGCAGGATCGTTTGTATTCATTCCTGCGTTTTTTCTTTCCTTGCTTCTTCGTTTGTTTGTTTGATGAGGTAGCTTTTTAGTATGCGAGGCAGCAGTGTGTGTGATGTGCGGTTCGTGTTCGGGAGATGTGCTGGTAAGATAGTAGTTGCTGTATGTCCGGGATTGAGAATGGGATGGCCTTTACTTCGTTAGTTGGGAGGTAGGTTCTTCTGCTGTTATCATTTTCATGAAGGAGGTGTGTAGGGCTATTTAGTATGCTCTTAAGATGGAATTAGTAAATGGACTTGGGAGACTTGTTGAATCGTCGAGAAAAGGGTTTTGGCGGTTGTGCTTTTGTGAAGCTGGCAATGAGGTCATAGGCTGAACCGTTTAGGCGAGCGTACATGCGGCGAGGGGGAATCTGATCGAGGCCGCAGTTGGAACGAACATACATACAGCCATATACTACTCAGATGTTTTCAGAATGGCATTCTATTTATATCCGACTGGCAGCTACTAGGTACTAGTTGGTCCGCCAGTGACCCGTCGTTTGATCGTTGGAGGTTACGCGGGGCCTGCGGAGGAGGAATCTTTGATACGGATACTGTTTTTTACACGGCGACGGCAACTGGGCTGTGAACTTTCACAAATACATCAGGGGCCGTCCATTGCGAGGATGGCAAAACATGAGAGTGAATTCTACAGAACCAACTGACAGCCCGACTTGAGTTCTTCTACACAAGCTCATCAGTTACAGAAGCGCCGCGAATACATGAGCTTGGTCAACTTCTACCCCAATTTCTCGCCAAACCCGCTGAGGGAACTCGAGATCTTACATAAGCGGGGATGAGAAGCAGGACATTCTGAACATGACACGTGACTCGTACCTCCCCAATGGCCTGCTCAGAAGTGGTTTCCGTTTCCGGCAAGGCGTGCTGAGCAGGTTTGAGAAGGTTTTCTCAATGGCCGAGTTCTGGGGCAGGTAGACTAAGTATTGGCTACTTTGCGGTACTTGCAAGGGACATGGGACCATCAAGGTCGACTTCATCAATGTTCAGAGAGACGGAAGACACAATGTCAGCAAGTCGCAGCTGAGTATTGATAACGCTGTATGTGTTCCCTATTTTATATTCTCAGTCCTTTGACAGACCGTGTCTGACCTGATGTTGCATCCGCTTGACCCCATTTCCTCCTTGCAATATGCCTATTGCGTGCTTTATCGACAACCCATGCCAGGACACCGTAAACGCCGGCCGTAAAGGCGAAAGAAGAGATATTCGTACAATTCGTACAATTCGTATAACCACCATGCCCCCATTACCGTCGCATATAATGATGAAAGAAGAAAAAAAGCCGCAAAAAGTTCATAAATCTTGCGTCTTCGTAGCGTGCCAAATGCCTGTTTTCGACTGGCGTCTAGTGATGGTGGTGAACCTCGCTGTAGCGGCCGACAAGGAGGCTGCCCAGGAATGTGCCGCCGAGGACGGACATGAAGTATCCAACGTTCATGGTCATGACAGCCAACATGCTGCAGAAGAAGAAAGTCAGAGATAAGCCATCACGGGAACTTGAAAGAGCTACTCACAGCAGGTATCCAACACCAACAATAACGGTATCCATGGCCGCCCGCACGGGATCGACGCTGAACCGCCACGGCCTCGTCACGGAGTCCTTCTTCTCCACGACGACGACCCTCTCCTCGACGCCGTTCTCCGAAATCATCATGGTCGCGCCCTTGGCGTCCGAATCCCTCGAGAGGCGCTCGGCGACGGGCTCCTTGCCGTTGACGACGACGTAGCGGCGCCGGGCGTCCTGGTCGGCCCAGATGCGCTCCTGGCGGGCCCTAAACGCCACGAGCAGGCGGGCGATGACGGCGAGGGCGATGAGGAAGATGCAGGTGCCCGCGTAGGCGCCGGCGTGGTGAGGCGTCCACGAGTTTGCGTAGAGGGGGGTTCGGATGTCGGTCTGGAAGACCATGGCCATGAGCATGGTCATGGTGGAGTTGGAGGCTGATGAGCCGTCGCTGCTGCCGCCCATGTCCATGCCGTCCATGATGGTTGTGTTTTCGTGGTGTTTTGTTTTCGAGAGGCGGAAAGAGGGCTTGGACTCGATCAGGGGCGGTGACAAGCAGTTCTTTAAAGCCCTTCTTTTCACCGTCTATGCGGTCCTTTTGTGCGCCCTGAAGGTGGTGTACAGACACGCGGAGGAATTGTGCGACTTGGCAGATGTGAAGATGCGGGATGGTAGAATCGCAAGATGTACGGAGGAGCGTTGGAACAATGGAATGCCCGCGGAGGAGGAAGTAAACGAGACCCGCTCCTGGTTCCTGCAAAGGCCGAGCAAGTTCCTCTGAAGGATGGTTCGAGTCGGCGGGAGCAAGGAGTCGATCCTGTAGCTGGAAGCTGGAAGCCGTAATCTCAAGATAGTAGTAGGTAGTATGAGACAGGACGTTCTGGCGAAGTGGTGATATGGGATTGTTCAAGTTGACAAGGGGGGAAAAGGACATCAACGCTATTTATTTGGCAGCGTCACTGGAGCAATGGGCAGCTCCAGGTGCTGCTGTCCTGTCCCCGAAAACAGGCCTTTTTGTTTCACCATCCGCAATGACTAAAAACTCTCTCACCAAACCGCCATGCTTACTTTCCCTCTGTTACTCTTTCGTTTCCGGCCTGTTTTGCTTGCTCTTTTGTTCGTGCGCAAGTTTGTGGACAATTGCAGTGGTTTCGAGGGGGGTGGGGGGTGCTTGTGGGGTTGTGCGTCTGGGGTCGCAGCGGAGGTATCGGTACTTTGAGCTGAGGGGCGCGATACTTGCGTGTACTTGGTCGTGATGCATGTCTCTGCGACACTCGCGCGTTCGTAGCTCGTACGTCCAAACATCGACTTTGCATATTTGCCGGGTCATGGGTTCTCCATGGATCTTGATCAATCAGCTGCTGACTGACTATTGGGTATCCCATCGCCGCTCCCACATCATGATCTGATGTGTCGCTCCATCTCCAGGCGTGACTATTCCGTAATAACCACCACTAAGGGACATGAAACTCACTCGATTAAGCTCTAACATGCTCACCCTCCTTTCACTGCTTGACTATCCAGTCCACCTGAATGCTGCTCAGATGAGTCCCCGTCGGTGAGGTGAATAACCCCATCTAGAGAGACCAGATTGATGAGAATGTCCTGCTGCTATCTGCCCGAAACATACCAGCACCCGCAGCTTTGAGCTTCTTGAATGCTAGGGGAGCTTTGTATGTACATCCGGCCATCCAGGTGTTGATGACTCGTTGCATGATAGGCCTGACGAACAAGACTCGGATGCCTTCCGTGGGCCTTGAACGTCAGTCTCAGCGCTCCATAGGTCGCCACGAAAGCATAGAGGGCATACCCCTTCAAATGATCCCGCC